TACGTGTCAAAATGTGGTCAGCTTCCATGGTTGGGCGGTATCCACAAAACAGGCGGCCAAAAAGGGTATGTAGCAAAATCTGGCGAACCGCCCAAATGGATTTGGGTATGTGTAAAAATAGCGGGACCTCCAAAATCCGGGCTCCTTGTTGGTTTCATGTGGAAAACCACCCCAAAAAGGTATCCTCAAAAGACACCCTGAAAGCGTACCAACTCCCTTTGAAACACGGCCATTCAGGGTGCGCTTTCATAAACCCGAGCCCCTTCAAAGTGGCTAGACATTCATCCCCATGTAAATTTGATGCCCACCAATTTGGGTCCCTTTAATCGCCACACCCAATCTTCAAAGCCCTTCCGTTTCCAATGTGTGTCTTAAAATAGGGGACCCCAAAATGGAGCTTGTGCTTTTGTTGGCCTTTAACAGCCCAAAAAGGCTCTCTCGGCCGATCCATGGGACCCATGGCCGAAAGCCGAAAGCCGAAAGCCGCAAGCCGAACGCCGAGGAACGTGGAGGATGAGGTGCTCCTCCAGGAAGGACCTCAAGAGCCTGCGCATCGAATCCCCCACTTTGGAGCCGAATCGGTGGTTTGGTGGTGGCTAAGGGGGTTGCTTAATAATTTTCGGAGTTGGTATACCCTTCTCACCCTTTTGGAAGGGAAACTACAAGAAAGCAAAAGAAACCCATTTTGGGGGGGCCGCTAGTTTGACACATACCCATTGTCGTTTGCTGATCAAAGTTGGGGGGGTCGGCGGAAAATAACACAAGGACGGGGGGAGAAAACGAGACACCGTTCTCTGTGTTCTCTTCGTGCGGCTTTGGGGGTTCGTTGACGTAAAAGAGAAAGCAACCAACCAAAAACCGCTTCGTTTGTGCACAACAAATCCATGGGAAGAACATACTGGTCTGTTTCGTCCATGGGGAGAAGGGATACGATATTTGATCCATGGAAAGAAAGGCATGTACGTTTACTTGATCGGAAGGAAAAGCGTTTGGGTGCCTCGCCTGTTTTTGAGGGCACCCTTGTTGGATGGTTTCAAAGGGAAGCCAAAAGGAAAGCCGCCCTTTTGGGGGTTCCCGGGAATGGATACTCGTGTGACTCTTCTGGTAGGGAAGTCGACACTCTTTTCGAGGGAGAGAAGCCAAAAGAAACTTGGGATGCCTTGCGCCCCGCATAGAGCGGCCACAGTTGGTCGGTTCAAACCAATTTGTAATCAACCCTAATCAGAGCGGCGTCCGTTTGGCAAATGGAGACTATTCCACAACTAAAGGCAAAAAATCAGTTTCCTAAAGTAAAACAACTACCAGGCGAAGGTTGTTTGGGGCTTAGAAATTCGACGCAGCTCCCCTCAAGTCAAAACAGGTTTGTTGGAGGCAATAAGGGGTCGCTCTACCCACAATTCCCATTTCATTCCCTATTCTCTTTGGGGCCACTCAGATCCACAACGAGGAAAAGCGGAGTTAAACAGGAAGTCCACCAAAAAAACACAATTCACCGTCAAGTGACCCTTCACCTCTTGTTGTCATCTTGTTGCATTCCGCACCCAAAAAAGGGAGACCAACCCCAAACCTTTTGTTTCACCATCTTACCTCTTGGGTCATTAAACACAAAAACTGTCCATGCGGCAAGGAGTACCCTTCCTCCCACCAACATGGCACCTGATAACGGGTCCCTTCAAGAGAACATTGATCTTCCGGGCGGCCTCCCGCTGGTGCTACGTTTCTGGGGGAAAGTCTAGTTCCCCGTGGGCCGGCAAAGAATAACACAAAAACCCAGCAGCGGGGAACGCCCAAGGCCCCAAGGCCCAGGCCCCGGGCCCTGCATAAAACCGCGCCTCAGGCCCCGCGTCACCAGGCCCATCTCCGTGCCGCCGTGCTGCAGCACCTTCAGCACCGTGAGCAGCTCGTGCACCTCGTCAGGTACCCTCCCCACCCTTTCTACATAGAACCGTTCGGCGTTCGGGGGAATCGGTCGTGGTCCAACGGACCATCTTCCCTTTAAGGAGATCGGGTCCCTGTCAGGTTCCATTTTCCCCAAAGCATCACTCATGGACCAAATCAGGGAAACCAAAAGTGGCTTTGGTTGGGCAAGTGAGGGCGGTGGCCATGAAGTTTAATTCATGTCCGGCCAGGCCCAGGTAGCCTCGGCTTGCCGGAAAAAGCTGTCCAAAAATTAGGTTGAAGCAGCATCGCCGGCATCACAGGCATCATTTTGACCACTTTGGAAGTATCGGGTTTTACTGAAGGGGGGGCTGCACGGAAGAATGCGGGTAATGCTGCCTCTTTAGACGTCCATCCAAACAACCAACAAAATACTGCGCCAGCGCTGCAGGGAAAAATATCAAACGTGGGCTCACCCATTTGACTTTTGGGGCAAAGGATGCGGTGACGGCTTCATGCAGGTGCTTTGGGGTATAGGAGGCTTCGGCAGCTTCATATCTCAGGCTTAGCTATTAGGTCAAAGGCTCAATTATCAGGTGGCTCTTCATTGGTGGTCTTAACCCCTGGTTCTTCAAATGGGAAACCACCCCCGAAACACCAAACCACCAAACCACCAATCCTAACCACCAATCATCCTTACTTCAACTTGGTCCGCAACTGGGACGTTGAGCGCTCTGGCCTCAACAGGGGCCTTTCTGGCCATGGACAAATCTGGGGTGCAGGTGAGATTGGCATTCAATTTGCCCAAAGCGCATGAAGTGATTCTGCGGGTTTCCCACAACGGCTCTTGCCGATGGTCCTGCCTGGGTTCTGGGCTGGTTCTTTTAAATCCAAGAAGCACAAAATCAGCCTTTCAGTGACACCAAAGTGGGGCAGACCCATTACTGTACTTCTTTGTCACTTCAAAAGGGATCTCCGTACAAAAAGCGGCAAACCCAATGTCCCACAACCAACCATGGGGTCGTCTTAGACAAGATCCCCCGCAAAAGAACGTGGGGAGGGGCAACCACCCCATCTTTATTCAACAGCTTTAAAGATGAAGACAAAGATATAGATTCTTGGAGTACAATATCATCTAAAAAAATACACACTGGGGACCCCGAAACTCATTGGTTTCCCCTTGGTCTGCCTTTCAAGCCAACCAAAAGAAATGCGTTCCTAAAGAACACCATGAAATGAATTTCAAGCAACTCGCGCCACGGGGCATCCTCCGTGCGGAGGCCATCCAGGTGCTTCTGCAGCAGTTGCACGCTGAACAAAAACCGCCGCTCCTCCAAGGCCTCGATTCCCCCCCGAAACGCGCGAAAGTTTGGCCCGGAGGTCCCAAGCGTTTGCCGCTGAAATGGTCCAGACCCAAACAAAACAGCTTGAAGCCCAACCACTCTTCGCGGCACGACAGGGAGGCCACGTGTCAGAAGAGTGGGCCCTCCAAAATGGATTTTGGTTCTTTGGTGTCCCTAGACAAGCCCCAAAAAGAGTGCCCAAAAACAAACACACACACACACACACACACAGCCGGGCACGCGCGCGGAATGTCCTTCGGCTTGGTGGGTAGTTTGTTGGACGGCTCGCCCCATTATTATTATTGATTTATGTGTTTATGTTTTTTTGGGGGAGGGGGGGAGGGGCTAAGGTACAGGAAACCTGTTGGACTTCTGTGGCTTGCCGGTTTTGAGGATATCCTTGCTTTTGGCTTGAAGGGCAAAAGGAAACCAACCTAGGGTCACCTGTCAAAGAGCACACGTGAGGTGTAGGGAAGCCAAAACCAAAACAAGAATGGTGCGTTGTGAGGGTCCCTACAATACATTTGAGCAAACAAAATCACCAGAAAGCCAATCCCCTTAAAAGGCTCTGTTTGTGAAAACCTTTTGCTTCGGGCTCCATGGCAGTTGGGAGGAACTGAAGGTTCAGGCGCAACTTGACTCTTGGCTCGAGGTGCTCGAGGGCAATTCTAAAGGAAAGGGGAATCACAAGGCTTTAGGGAATAGGATCAAGCCAAGAATGAAGCCCAGACAAGGGCACACCGTGCAGTTAACATGGAGGGGACACATGATGGGCAAGGAGGCGTGGCCCGTACTGCCTGGAAGGCCCCGTCGAAACAACAGGAGAGTGCAGAAACCTTCTTGAGAGGACTCTTTTTCCCATGTCAAAGGAGCCCCAAGAATGACAAGAAACCAAGCTGAAAAGGTTACTGAGCCTCAATCTACAACACATAGAACCGCCCTCTTTTTGGGGGGATGGTTTTTTCTGTTTCTCAAAGGAATCGGTCCCTTATGGCTGGCGTCCTTTCGGTTTTCCTGTTTCAACTAAAATGCCCGAATCCCATGAGAAGCGCCCGTTCGGTGGGAGTTTTCGCTTCAGGGTGTTGGCAGAGAATGCCGCAACAAGCCAAGAGCCACCCAAGGACATGAAGTTGTCAATGGCGCTACCGGCTCCCTAGTTCCCGACCAGAGCCATGATTAGAATCGGTGAGGTCCAAATCACATTCAGCTCTTTAGCCCCTAAATTTACGCCTGGTGACCCCCAAAAAAGGGTGGTCTCCTTAAAGGGGGCACAATAAAGCCCCCCGGCCCGTTCCCGCGCCGCCACGCCGTTCGTGCCTCAGGAGCAAGCCGCAGATGCTTCACCGACGAAGCCGCCTTCGCATTCACCGCCGTCCTGGCCTTGCCTCGGCGCATTTGTTGGGGGTCCAAGGGTGGTCTATACTTCCATTTGCTTCAGCCCACTGGAAAAAGAAGGACACATATGTCCAGTGATAGATTCCCCTTTAAAACAACAAGGGAAAAGCAACGGAAGAATACTGGTCCATTCAACTTGATGGCTGTTACCCCCTGCCCAAGTGAAAAAAACCAAACCTATGAAACTGGCGCCCTTGAAGAGGGCGTCTCTACACGGACGTTGGCCCAAAACGGGCCGAACATCAAAAACAATCTTCAGATTCTGTTTCCTATGCGGTCTACTCCAAAATACTAAAATGGTTTTGGAGAGGGCCCCAGATTCCTATGAAACAAATTGATCGCCTCTTCGAACTGGGGCCCTTCTTGCCACACGAGAACCTCCCAAGCCGCAACGCCCTGCCGGGTCACGCAGGATGCCCTTCACCGGCGCACAGATGCGGTGCTTGGGGTCATTGCCTGGATCCGAAGGCACAACGGTTCTGTTGAGACCAGCCCTCCCCTTCTTTGAGGCGTTTTTCTAGTCAAGTATGATTGGCTCCATTTGCCAAGGTGCCATTTTGGTACACGTTTTTGAGCCACTGCCATATCTGCCAGTGGAACCGGAACCACATTTGGTTCGCTCAAATGTCCCTTTTCAACCTCACACCAATGAGAAACTCAGTGAACGTTAGCCTGCGGTCAATGCGTCTGCTGAGACGCCCCCGGCCGGTCGGCATGCGGCATGCAATTTTCATTGGCCCAAAACATGACGTCTGAACCACAGACAACAAGGAACTGAAGAGCCCCACACACATCAGCGCACCCGCATCTGAACCAAATGTATGGTGTCCCTTGGGTTCGCCCAATAAGAACTACACGAAGACACACAAACGGGCAGAATGCAAGGGTACACTTGCACATGAAGAGAGAAGGCACCTGGGTTGGTTTAGTCGTGACTGAATCTTGAATAAGTAACCAGCAATTGCGACCCAAGTATTTAAACTAAGCCCCCAAAGGCCACACACACTCACATGGCCATAGGTTCATGCATGAGTGCATACATCAGGGGCTCCATGTCTGACTTGTTTGGACCTGTCATTGGAGACCACCCTTAAGTTGCAACTTCCAAACGACGACCCGCCCCGTTCTGCTGAACATATCTAATTTAGAACTTGGGAAGTGAAGCCCAGAGCGCCGCTCAGCTTCTGCCATGGAAGTAAACTGAACAAATTGAGTGTGGCACAAGCGAAACCGGCAATCCATTGACCCCAAGGCACGCAAAGACAAACATGCAACGGTCAGCCCTTCAATAGTACGGCCAGTTGAGTGGTGGGGATCCTTTCTTCCAAGCAATACAAAGGGGGCCCCAATTCATCGGTGCACAGTGCAATACTTGGAACCCTTGTGGACACAGGTGCCAGGCAGAGGGCTGTTGTTGTTTTTTCCCCGGGGAAAGCAGGGAGCCCCTCCCAATGCAGAAAACCCTTGTTGAAAAGTTGACTTGTTTTGCCAAGCGTGGGTCGAAGAGCAAACACTGGTGAGAGCCGGCCGAATGCCGAATGATTTGTGTGTGTGTGTGAGTAAGTGAGTGTGTGCGTGCGTGTGTCTCTACGTGTGTCTGTGTGTGTGTGTGTGTCTGTGTGTGTGTGTGTGTGTGTGTGTGTGTCTGTGTGTGTGTCTGCGTGTGTGTGTGGGTCTGTGTGCGTGTGTGTCTGTCAGGAAACCTGGATGGCAACAATTATGCTCAATCCACTTTCACCGGCGATACTCCGCAATCATGTATAAACCCAAATAATGAGATAAGCAACCTGCTTTAGAGGGGATCGGGAGTACTTGAGGAAAACACACCAACGCGCGTCAGCCATACCCAGACCTCCAGTGGCCATGTGCGAAAAGGGCACCTGCTTCGGTACTTAGCAAAGGGAAGTGTTCCACAAAGAAAAATGCGCAGTGCGCCCAAATGCGCCCTAGAGCTCTGGGCCTACCCCCCACCTTCCAGCAAGTCGGCGCTCACGTCGGCGATGAGCCTCGGAAGCCCCAGCCGGCCCATGTGGCTGTGTGACATACGGGGCTGCCTTCGGGAATGCAATCGGTGCTACGGTCTAAGGAGTCTAGTGTTTGCTAAACATGCGCATTCTGAGGGATAGACCATGCACTTTTCGCGGAACAGATCCCCAAAAGCTGGACGAATGGCCAAGCTTGTTCGGTCAGCCAGCTAGATTGCAAGACATCAACCTGGACAGTTGGCAATTTGCTTAGTCAGCTGCTTGCGGAAACAAATGGGCCTTTCCTAGTTCGGCAAGCGAAAAACTGGCTCGGCTCTCAGCCAGTGAACTGGATATCGGACGGCCTTTTCAGTTCTGGGTGCTGAGCAGAGCGTCTGGAAAGCTATCAAACGGCCCATCCCTTTTGGCTAATTCTGGGAAAGGTTTCCCAAGCGGATGAGGAAAAGGATAGAACAAACTACCCAAACAAATGTTTGGAAATAGAACAAATACGTTCCATTCAGCACCCGTTGTGCACTACCTGGGCACATGAAGGGTACGAGGAGAAGATTACATGGTCGTTGTCTCTTGACAGTTGCCTACGTTCGCACAACTTTCACTTTAACTTCCTTGCCGCTGAGCTAGTTGATCAATCGTCGACAGAAGGACAAATAATTTGAAGGGTGCGAATCAGTCGCTGCCGAGCCAATGCCGACGTTTAGCTACACGACCGAGGTGGTTTGCACCCTGGGCCAGCGAAGCACATGGCCATGCTCCAATTGTAGCAATGTTATTTTGCTTTCACGCAACACATCCATGCCTCAATGGTAGCCAAGCTGAATAAGTGCCACAGGATGATCGTCTTCAGAACTGACTGCAGTCTATGTCTTGCTGCCTGCCTTGTTGATTTCCTACAGGTGCTCCCAGTAAACAACATGCCACCATTGCCAAACAAGAAACAATGAAGCAGCATACAGTAGTAGTAGTAGTAGTAGTAGTAGTAGTAGTAGTCGTCGTCGTCGTCGCCGCCGTGGTGGTGGTGGTGGTGGTGGTGGTGGTTGTGGTGGTAGTGGTAGTGGTAGTGGTAGTGGTCGTGGTAGTGGCAATGGTAGTGGTGGTGGCAGTCAGTGGCGGTGGCAGTAGTAGTAGCAGCACCAGCAGCAGCAGCGGTAGCAGTAGCAGTAACAGTAGCCGTCATCGTCGCCGTCGCCGTCAAAGTAGTAGTCGTCCTAGTCGTCGTAGTCGTAGTCGTAGGAGGAGTTGGAGTAGCAGAGCAGTAGCAGTAGCAGTAGCAATAAATAATAATAATTACAATATTAATACAACAAGAATAATAACAATGACACACGACCGTATATAAATCAATTCAACAAAGACAAATGCACGAATAGTACTCAAAGGACCCCCCCCGTCAAGTTCCAGGCAATTTGGGTCCCCGGGCTGCAAGCGGCACCCGCCCTCGCGGGGCGCCAAGGGGTCTCGCCCTCTGGTGCCGTGGGACCCACCCTTGGCGAGGATCGCCAGGGCGCTGTCCAGGTTGATGTCGCCTCGGTCCGGATGGTTCCTCCAAACGGGTGGCTCGGTTTTCGTTTTTTGAGGGTACCCCTTCTTTGGTACAGGGAAACAACGGGAAACTGCTGCCAAAAATGGGGGCCCCTAAACAAAGTACCCCTTGCTTGGTGGCAAAGGGAAACCAAAAGGACGCCCTTTTGGTTCTCCCTCAAATACCAAAGACCCATTTTGAGAAACGCTCATGCAACCAAATGCTCTTTGCACCTTGGTTTGAGGGGAACCAAAGAAAACCACCATTGTTGCCCCCCCATACCATACATATTGCAAATGTAGTACGTGAAAAGATGCTTGCCAGCAAAGACAAATCATATTCGCAAACAAATCACCATATCAAGCTGTGCAAATTCCGACAGGTGAGTGGATCAGACACGCGGAGGTTTCATGGTGTGATTTCAGATTTGACTTGGGGTTGGTGGGAATGGTCATGGACTTGGGAGTTTGGATGGCCTCCATCAGGATTCTCCCCCCCCCCCCCCAATTCGGGTTTGCGCCTTTCACCTCTAAACGGAAACCAAAAGGAACACCTCAGCCATTTTTGTGGTTTCCCAATTTTGGCACATTGGGCCCAGCTTTGGCACATTGGGTGGCCAAAGTGTTTTGCATATTGGATAGGGCCACACGAAAAACAATCACAATATATGAGCGGTTGTCTCCTGATTTCCGTGAGACTTAGTGAATCTCATGGCAAGTGGACCATGGACTGGATACTCCTGACCGAACCTCAACAAATCGCATCTTGGGCTGTTTCAGTCGCCAAAACTTGCGGCATTGAAGCCATAAGTTGGCCATTTTGGAGGGTTGGTAATGGTGAGGGTGAAGTAATTTTAGACTTAGACGGGTTGGCAACCCGATTTTAGTACGGTTTTGCCGTTGATAGACTTTTTTGGTGGGGGTTGGCATCCACGGTAGTTGGTCGAAAGAACTACCCGTAGTCCACCTTTTGACGTTTTCAGGAAACAAGAGGCATCAGTTTCCCTCTAGAAGGTGTTTTCAAGTTGTTTAATTCACATTCCTAGCTCGGTTCACTGCAACCCTTGGTCTCCAACTCCTTTCCGTTACCCTCCTGACCTTCCAACACACGCCACCCCAACCCAACATGCGGCATGCCCGCTGCAAACTCTGGAGCCCTGAGCAGAGACCCTAAAGCTTCCAGCTGGGGGCAAGATCGGCGCGCCGTGTTTGGTTTGTGTCAAAGAAGGACAAAGCCACCTGGGTGTACTTTTTGAGGATGCCCTTTTCTAGCTGGTTTAAAGGGAAACCAGAATGAATGCTGATGCCATTTTGGGGGGTCAAAGGCAAAAAAATGAAACATATCCATAACTCGGGCTAGCGCAACCATGGTTCTATTTGTTGATTTCCCCTAGACTTCAACCTAGGGGTGGTTGATTTCCCCAACAGGGCAACCAGCCACCCTTGGTCTTTCCAAAAATAGGGGACCCTTGACATGATCGTCCCCTTGGTTTCCCTGGCTTTTCAGGGGTTGTTTTCCAGAATTCCTGGGCTTGGAATTCTTCTAGGAACTCCCCTGGAATTCAACTGAACTAGACGTGGCGGAACTCCCCTAGAAACTTTCCAGAAACAAACCCCTGAACTTCAACTGGGACTCCCAAAGCGGCCGCGGGGCGCATGGAGTTGGTGCGCTCCAGGCGCTTCTCCGCCAGCCCGGCGCGCTCGAAGTCGCTGCGGTCCAACCTTGGGGAAGTGGGGGGGGGGAATGTTGACCCCATACTGATGGACGAAATCCATTTCGCAACTTGCAAACCATGGGAAAGCATTGTGAAAATTGGTATTTACAGCAAAATCATCATTCCTATAGGTTTCTTAGGTGGTGCAGGATTTCGTCCATCCACAGTATGGGCATGGGTCAAAATTGCATCACTCGGGGACCGCAGATTTTAGTCTTTGTTTCCATTTACCAGGGTTTCATTTTGGGTACCTACTTTTGACCCACGTCCATATGAATCAACCCAGTTTATGAATAGGAGGGTGTTTGTTCCCCTCCAATGGTGATGATTCCCCACTAAACCCAGGGGCACCCGCCTAGTAATAAACTGGGGTTGATTCATATGGGGGAACATTATGGTGGACACTTGAGTCATGATCAAAACCGAACGGGGCTTTAAAATTGTCTAACCACCTTGTAAATAATTAAAAGGCGGCGAAGGCACCCATCTATGATTGGGATTCTCACTTACTAACCTTCTAACTTCTCCAACCCTCAATGTCCTCTAACGTCTACCAAGAGTTGCCTCCAACTTGTCTAACGACTGACTTCCCTAACCCCCTTCTAACCTCTACCTCTAACCTCTCACTCTTAACCTCCACCGCTCTCTGACCTCTAACACTCTTCCTTCTTCCGACCTCTGCCTCATCTAACCTCCGACCCTCTAACTCCTCTAACCTTCAACTCTAACCTTTTTTGCCCCTATCCCTAACCCTACCCTCTAACTCCTCGAACATCTAACTCTGCTAACCTCTAACCTCTGCCTTCTCTAGCCTCTAGCTCTTGCCTCGCCAAACCACTACTTCTAAGGCCCTACCTCTAAGCCTTTAACTCCTCCAAAACCTTTTACTCCACTGACTTCCAACTCCTCCACTAAGTCCTCTAGCCTCCAACTCTAACCTCTAACTCTAACCTCTCACTGGCGCGGGCCGGGCATACGCATAATGTTGTACAGACTATGCCACGCTCTTCTCTCACCCCTAACTCCAACCACTAATTCCTCTTCACTAACCTTCACTCTAGCTTCCAAGCCCTCCAACCTCTGCCTCCATATTTCTGCGACCTCCAATGGTCCAACGTCTCTTCCGATTTGGCTGCCATAGGTGGCACAGTCCTGGTCATGGCTCCCTCAATAGGAACCCTTACAACTGTTGTCTAAAACCCTATAAAGCGGCCCATGACCATCCCGAACACCTTAGCGTTGTGGTTTCAAAGGAGCACCAAAAGGAAAACCGGCCATTCTGCGGGGTCCGAATCCCAAACAAAGGACACGCCCAATCGGCCTTACAACTGTTGTCTAAAACTAAAGGGCCCTTTTGACCATGGCACAGGTCCGGATACCATGAAGCCCGAGGCGCCCCAGCGCTGAGTCCTCCAAATCCGCCTCCTCCGCCACTGCCGCGGTGCGCCGCAGAGCGGCGTTCTCCTGGCGAGCTGGTGGCACTGAGGTGCTTTAGATTGTCTTTCGATTGAGTGGGGTGTTTGAGGGGGTGTAAGGGGGTTGGGGAGGTTGGGGGGGTTGGGGAGGTTTGGGAGGTTTGTGGGGGTTGGGGGCGTCTCTTGAAGGAAACCGGGGATCATCTTGAAGGAACCACGAAGATAGTTGGTAGAGGTCATTCCCTCATTCCCTACCAGCAAGAAGAGGGTACCCTCCAACAAAGGGATTTGTCTCTCGATACATGGTTTCTCTTGGGTTCCTTTGAACTTGCCGGTAATTTATATGAGCCGCAGTCAGAGTTACAAGGGTCCCCAAGAGGACATGGGAAAATCAGTGAGTCTCTTGGCGAGTCCCCATGTCGCTCCCAAATGAGCCAAATGGACCACAAACTAAAATATGATGGGCTTGTGGTTCTTGAGGCTCGGTACCCTTCTCCAGTTGGTTGGAAAACCAAAAGGACAACATTTGTTCCTTCTGGTGTCACTGCAAAGCATCTTTCTCTGGTGTAAGCCAAACTTCAACATGGCTGGTGAGGGTGGTGTCCCTCTGGTTCACCTTCAGTTTCCTTAAGGTTCCTTAGAAGGATTTCCATTTGGTGTGTCCCTGTAAAACAACCCTTTGAGACGGTACCGCCCTTGGTCTCTCTGAACGCCCCACTCCTGTTTGAGGGTACCCTCCAAAGCGGCGCAACTATTCGTGTTCTGAAATGAGGGACCCGGACAGGTGGACATTGCTTGGAAAGCTCCCAAACTGGCTCATTTGCTTCTTAGTTGTTTCCTGCTCAGTCCAATCTCACATGCGCCTGGTGCTTTGTCGCCAATGAGGCGCAGTTATGTCTCCAGTTTCCCCCGCACCACCCAACTCACATTTTGAGACAAACCCATTTTGCTCTCCCCCCCCGCCTGGTCGTCGTCCTTGAGCCGAAGCTCCGCCCGGCTAAACTCTTGGCCCAGCATCGCCCTGTTCCCATCGTCCTCGGTCGGGGTTCGGTTTCGGGTATCGGCCGCAGTACCGACATACCCACCAAAACTGTTTACAGACTCTGCTTTCGGCCACACAAAAAAACTGCGGATTTTCTGGCCCGCATTTCTCGTGAGTCTGCGGAAGCTCCCTCTGTGATCCCAAAGAAGCCCCTGAAAATCCAACGCGCGGCTGTGCGGACCATGTTTGAAGGGATCTGCACATCCACACGTAAGGGAGACGAGAAATCCCAAACAAGACCAAGGACGCTAAGTTCTACAAGAAATCCGTGTTTCTGGTGGGTATTTGGCAAATTGTAGAAATTGATTCCTGTGGCCCAAAAGTCCGGGCCACGAATCACTAGGCATGGCAGAAAGCTCCGGCTTTCTTGCCGCCCGAAGAACCCTTGGCCTTCGGAAAACAATCGCGTCTCTGCACACGTTCTCATATGACTTAATTTCGCTGTCGAGTCCCAAATCCTGTTTCTAGGTAAAAGGGCTCTTTCTCAGAGATCCTCGAAGGATATGTTAAAAAAAAACTGGTTTGCACGGGAGAGTCTAAATCAGCTGATAACAGTGATTTTGCAACTGGCCCAAATGTGTCCAGCATGTGCCAACATAGGGGGACCCCACAAATCGCGTCCTTTTGGCTTCCCTTCAAGCCAATCCCCCTCAAAGGGTACCTAGCCCGAAAGAACCCACACCGTTCTGTTGGTTCGTGGTACAACACGCACTTTCGCAAAGTGAGTTGAAGGTGAAAGGTTCCAAACAGCCAAGTTCTAGGCCCGACTTCGCCTGTGAGACTTTGCCCTCGACTTCCGCAAGCCCCTGTGGAAAATCACTCTGCCTGTGATACTGATACGAGCCAATGACCACTTCAAGAGGATCCCATTGGCCACTCACAAAAAGCGGCAACCTAAAACCCGATTAAGCAGCGCCCCCAAATTGACACTCGGTTCCACCAACATGAGTACAACTACAGGGATCAAAATTATCTTTTGGTTCCACATACTCACAAAGGTTTACACAAGGATTATATTCTCTCCAGCCCTATTTAACTTAAACCAGGTAGCCCCTTTTTAAGGGGATCCAAAAATAGATGTTGGTGTCCCTTTAAAACCAACCAACCAAAAGGGGTCCCCACACACCCTCTTTTTGGAAAAAAAGAACACACACCCAAGAATCTTCTTAAAAGCCCCCCTTTACAATAAAGCTACCAGCCATACTTGGGCGTGTCACTTGTTGATGGGTTTGAAGGGAAACTCAAAGGAAAACCAAAATCCATCTGAATAACAGCCACACCCATGGATTTTTCCAAACTCGGGAAGCCTCCTTCTAAACCGATTTCCTTCAAGTTTCTCATCTGGTGTTCCCGTGGTTTCCCTCAAACAAGCCAAATCCATGAGGTCGCCTGAAAGTCGCGCCCCCTAGTAAACCAAATACATAAGGTCGCCTAGAAAAAGCCAGCCACGCCCATTTTTGACTCAAGTGGAACCATCTGATAAACCAAATCCGTGTTGGGGTCGCCTCAATAAAACGACGCAGTCAAGGGCCCCCCAATAGGGGCCCCTAACCATGGAAGGTAGAGATCTCTTTGTCGAGAAGCTCCGGCGAGGCCCTCCACAGCGGCCACCAGACGCCCACTTCTTCGCTGCTGGTCCCCCACATCCCGCTGCTCCAAGTCCTGGCCCACTCGGGAGGATATGAGGGTCCCACATATATAGCGTTCTTAGTGTGTATATATATGTATATATGCATATATTTGAGGTGTGGCATATATATATATAGATATACATATATATATATATATATGAAAATTCATATATGTATACATACGTGTATATATATATATATATATATATATGAGGTGTGGTTTGGAGGAACAAGCCCTTTCTTGAAACCCTTTTTGGGAACCCTAAAGAAGCATTGGGGGTTTTCAAGATAACCTCTTTTGGAGTGGGTTTTTGAAGGAACAATGAAAATCAAGAAGAAGGAAACCACTGTAGATACCGCGATAGTAGGTCATATGGGTATGTGGGGCTGTGTCAACATGACGCCCGACATAGATGTTGCTGTTCCGTTTCCCTTCAGGGTCTCAAAATTAGGGACCCGTTCTGGTGTTGGATGTCCGTTTGGTTGCCCAATTCAAAAGGGGGGGGAGCCCCAGTTTGAGAAGCACGTCCACCAAAAGGAGCTTCAACTATTAGGTCATCTTTTTACCGTGGCACATATGGGGGGTTCTCAAGATGACCCCTTCTGGGTGCAAAAAAGGGACCAAAAAGGAAACTGTGGCCACCATGTGTTCGTCTTTCATCCGCGATGTTGAGAAACACCCGTACTACCTACATAATTAATTGATCGCTATTTTAGGTGGTCAGTTCCTTTTTGTTTCGTTTTTATGTTGGCGCGTTCACCGAACTCGAAGCCGGAGCGGAGAGAGAGAGAGAGAGAGAGAGAGAGAGAGAGAGAGAGAGAGAGAGAGAGAGAGAGAGAGAGAGAGAGAGAGAGAGAGAGAGAGAGAGAGAGTTCCTTTTTGATTTCGGCTGAAAATCCAAAAAGGGGGCCCCTTACGTTGAGAAACTGGGATGACCCCGCTGCCAGTTCCCGCCACTTCCCGCCTTGAGGCCCTTCTGCAGCGCGCTCTGCAGCTGCTGCTTCGCCTCAGTTTTGCGTTTCATTGAGGTCCTGGACCCGTGAGGCGCACGGTCTCCGGGGCCTTTTGTGCACGGTCTCCGGGGCCTTTTGTTTTTGAGGTTTTGCCTTTTTGTTTGATGCTTTTTGGGTGTCTTCTTGTCTTATTTGGGATGCTTGGGCGAAACATCGTTGCCTCGATGCTTCGCGAAAACATGCTCCTATGTTCAGCTTCCATTTCGGACTCAGTCTCAACAAAATTATGTTCAAACAGGAGAAAGAGAAAGAACAAAACGGAAAAAACGGGGAAAAAAAAACGGACGAGAAACCAAAGAAAACAACGGGACCTCATGGCCCCCCCACCCCACGCCACCCACCCCGTGGCCCGTTTTGGTTTCGCGTCCGCCTCCTCGTGAGCGGTGCGCATGTAGCGCACCGGGCCCAGGCCGCTGCGGAAGGCCTTGGGCAGCTGGGCCTTCCACGCTGCCACCTCCGGGAATTCGGTGGGGGTGGTGGGTTTGGGTCGTTTGGATGGTTGGAAGGGTTTGGTTTGGTTGGCTTGGTGGGGTGAGACTTCACTTCCAGTTGCAACCAGTCGGCTCCACTCATTGTGGTGGGTGCTTCAATGCACCCCTGCCTTTTTGATAGGTGTGTGTTGGTGTGCCGTTTAAGAAGGGCTCCGGATCACTGTTGGAGGAGACATGCCCTGAGGGTATACAGAGGTGTCTATATATATATATTAATACTGATAAGAAAAAGAATAAGAAAAATGAGAACAATGATAATAGTAAAAATAACAAGCGGAAAACATAATACCAAACAAACAAACAAACAAACGAACGAACGAACGAAGGAAGGAAGGAAGGAAGGAAGGAAGGAATAAATGAATGAATGACTGACTGACTGACTGACTGACTGACTGAATGAATGAATCAATGAATGAATGAATGAATGAATCAATGAATGAATGAATGAATGAATGAATGAATGAATGAATGAATGAATGAATGAATGAATGAATGAATGAATGAATGAATGAATGAATGAATGAATAAGTAAACAAACAACAAAATGAATAAATAAAAAGTAATAATAAATAAAGAAATAATAAATAAAGAAATAAATAGAATAAATAAATAAACAAGAAGTAAAAATAAAAATAAAAAAGTAAACAAATAAATAAATAAATAAATACATAAGATAAGATAAGATAAGTATCAACAAAAAATAATTAATTAAGTTTAACAATGATACATGAATAATATATAATAATAATAATAATAATAATAATAATAATAATAATAATAATAATAATAATAATAATAATAATAATAATAATAATCCAAATAATACAACAATAATAATACTAATCATAATAAACATCATAGTAAAAATAATAATATCAATAAATAATATTAATATAATAATAATAATAATAATAATAATAATAATAATAATAATAATAATAATACCAGTCATAGAAATAATAACAGTAACAATAATCATAATATTGATAATAATAATAATAATGATAGTAGTATCAATAATAATCATAGTAGCACAAATAGTAGTAACAACAATAGTCGTAGGAATAATGATAGTAACACTAATAATAATAACAATACAACTTATTACCAACAATACTAGCAATAATCATAATACTAAGGTGTGGATGAATGTGTATAAAGCTTGTAAAGGGGATTGATTGGCTCAGCATTCGGGGACCTCCCCAAACACAAAAGAGGCATCATGATAGAAAAATCATTGCGCAAGAGTCAAACATCAAAAATGGCCATGGGCTAGACGGCTGACCACTACCCAGCGGGAATACGCACGGCTCGTAGATTACCAACCTTTACCAGGAGGCAGGAGATGCACCGCCCAAAATGGGGGGGGGAGCTTTTTCCCTGTAAGAGCGACAATCAAGTAGCTACAAACAAAACACAAATCATAGCTCTTTACGCAAACGCAATCTCCAGCTTCGGGGGCCTGTCTTGTTTGCTATCACTTTCAAACCATCAACCAACCAGGCAGCCAAACCCACCAGGTCATTCCAGCAGGTAACCAAGCCAACTAGGCCAACCCACCAAGCCACCAAGCCACCAGGCAACCAGGCAACCAGGCGACAAGCAGGAGAGTAGGGTTCTGATGTCTGGCTGGTTGGTTTCCCTTTGGTTCCCCTCAAAACCAACCAGGAAGGGTACCATTACCATAGGTCGTTCATACATGGGTGTGTCTTTGGTTGAGAGTGCCTTTTTGTGTGGCTTTAAAGGGAAACCCAAAGGAACCCCAAACGTCCCGTCAAAAGACACACCCACGTTGGTTCCAAAACTTGGGAGCGCCAATCTGTTTTTAGCGATGTCCTTCAGGTTTCTCGTCGGCTGGCGCTCTTTAGTTTTCCTCAACTGAGCATGGAACTCAAAACCGAAAGAAGAGCAAAAAGGTGTACAGTTCCGTGATCTGCAGGAAAGTGTTCCTCCCATCCTGGAGGTGGATACCCTAAATCTTGCAAGTAAACCAGCCACAAACCATGGAATTTGCAGGATTTCCCTTGTTCCCTACTTGAATATTTAGGACGTCCAACGGACCATAGAAGGATTCCGAGCGATCTTTCGGCCGCGCCTCCTTCCAGTCATAGCGGTCAGCATCATAGAAAGGAACCTCGGCGAAGAGTGGCCAAGTGAGTAACTCAGTGCCAGTTTTGTTGAGGGGTATCTTTTCTTACTTTTTCACCTCAGTCTAAAGTGAAACCAAAAGTTAGTAGGTGGCTTGTCTCAGTATTCATGGGGTTCATCCATCCCGACAGTTGCAGGATGTTGTGCACAGGTGTCCTTTTGGAAAAGTCGATGACACTCGTAACCCGTAATGTTTGGATCTCTATTTCAACCAAACTGAAAAAGGACACTTATGGTGCTGCATGGGGGGAGGGAAGTGGAAAAACAGATGTTCTATGTCCAAAAAGGGAAACTCAAAGATGTGGGATATTTAGCCCCTTCCCTGCAGAGGCCGAGATACGGCGCAAATGGTGCGTCTTGACAAATCCGGTCTATTGTCTAGAGGGCCTGCACGTGGGTTGACCTGTTAGCTATTGAAGCTGAGAAGCATTTCGGCGGTGGGTGTGTCGACGAGGGAACCCCCGCAATGGTTGGTTTTCTTTCTGTTTCCCTTCAAACCGTTGGCTTTTCTTTACAATTTCAACCAATTAGGGAGCTTCTCAAACCAACAAAACATGTAAAGCCTTGCTTGTCAAAACAAATGTGTGAAGGGAAAACCCGCCATTGAAAACAGAAACACATTCAAAACAAAAAGAGCTGAACAGGGCAGCGCTGGAGGTCGCAATGTCTGCGGACTGAGCGCCGGGCCAATGGGATGCTCCGCTGGTCCGCCCAAGTCACCTCCGCCTGCCAGACAGTCCAGAACATGGAAACCAAAAAGAGGTCCCTCAAAAAAGGGGTGTGCCTTTTTTTAGGGGATTCATTCATGCGATAGCTACATAAAAGGACTCATTGCAGGCCGCTTACAGTGAAACACAGTAATCAGAGCCACCGGGGTCTATCCATTCTCTTTCACTCCATATTGACATATTGGATTTCCTGCGGAATAGATCCAGGGACCACATATACGATCCTCTACTACCACAAGGTATCCGTTCCCTTCTGGGATAAGATGGGACTCAACTGGGTGGTAGCGGAGCGGTTTTCTGCAAAAATCCAGAAGCAATGTCATCCGATGGAGAAGGCTTCATGGAGGCCTATTCAAGTACAGCCCGATCATCTGGCTATACTGAAGAGACACTCAATTTATCGATGAAGCAGCCGCCATTGTACGACGGAAAAGTCAGCTGGTTCAGGTATGAAGAACTCGTAGATGGTTGGATAACCTTCACAACGATCGAACAGACTCATTGGAGATGCTTACGTGTACAAGGCAGTCCTCCAGAACGACCGTTTGCAAGATCCTGAAGAAGGAGTCAACTATTTCAAGAAGACGCTGAAGCAGTACTTCCTGAAGGGTACCACGAACGTGTATCTTTACAGGCTCCTCAGTTTCTTCAATCACAGGAGGCAGAAAACCGAGTTCCTCCTATTCACATCAAAATTCGAAATCCTTCTCACGAGATTGTCCAGGGAATGCAGCAAAGACAACGGGACGCATTTCCCTTCGGGGATAATCTCATAGCGCAGTTTTTCATCATCCAGAGCGAGCTGTCAGACCTTTTGAGGAGTATTATAAATTTGAGAATTACACCTATGAGATGCTGAAGACGCAATACCACGACCTCTTCATCACGACCAGAACTTCAATCCAAGATCCATCCACCATCCGACCTCAAGGAGGCAACCGGAAGCAACACATTCTTCATCATCGAGGTGAATACGAAGGAGAAGAAGGCTTTTGGGTTGAGGATGAAGAAGGACAAGAAGGATTCATGCCGAACAATGGTGAAGAGACGTTTTGGGTCCTCGAGGAGAACGATGCGTTCATTGCGAGAAAGGTGTCTGGGCGGAATTTCAGATTCAAAAAGAACAAAGGAAAAGGAAAATCGGGAAACAAAAAGGGAGCGGTTCTGGCGGGAAGGCCAAAATGGCCAATGAAGACTATGATCCCTACGGGAAAGAAAGGAAAATCGAAATTCCAGTATCCCTTTGATGGAAACAAAGGCTATCCATCCTATGACAATGGCAAAAGAAAAGGCAGACATGACAAAGGAAAATCCAAAACGTTCGCAGCCATTGCAGAGAAGTTGGAGGAGCAACCGGCCAACCCGCAAGTTGCTGAACTCCCAGAGCCTACCTATGCCGGTTGGACAGACCAAGACTGGGATCAATCATGGAATTGGAACGAACAAGGCTGGTACTCATTTCATGAGACATCCAGCACCGGACAAGCACCCGGTACAGAACACAATTCAGCCCATTGGCCGCAAAGCTGATGGCGCTTGTCATCAACCCTCAACACAATCCGACCTATGCGGTCCTGGGGATCCATGGGCAGCTGGCATGCAATCCAGCGTTTTACTCAACCCATCGAACCCATGAAGTACCTCATCTCACCAGTACATCCCGGCCGAGACATCTCAGATATCACACGACACCTCCATGCAATACCAACATTGACATGAAACCTCAAGGAATTCAGGTCCACGGTGTCTCCCTCCTCCCCCATCGCCGGCAACTCGACCCCTGAGACAAGCCAAATTCGGACGGAGGGGGCGCTGCCTTCGGAAGCCCGGCACAGGCAACTGTGGTACTGCGCGCTCTTCTGCTAAGAGGCTAACGGATGCTAACGGATCATCTTATGGCAATTTCGAACTGAAATTTGCATTTCGACCAAGGGTGACATTTGCCATGGGCCATTGCGTGAATTTGAATGTTGAGCATTGTTGAGCTATGAAAAAACACATGCATCTCTCGATATTGTTTCCAGCAAGGCTGGCAACAAGGCAGGCACGGCACCTGCAACACTGAAGAAAGTGACATATAGACAACTTGTCAAGGCAGCTGCAACTGTCAGAAATCAAACCGTCACCTACGCGGGTGTAACACCCTTGGAACTTGCATTCGGAAGACGACCAGCAGATCTCATCCAGCTTGATGTCGCAACACCTACTCAATTTCACGATCAACAGGAATGAAGAAGAGCTTACAGCTATCCAAATCAAGCAGCTGTCCAAGCAGGCATTCCAAGACGCTCGTCAATCCTAAGCCAGCATCCTCTAAGCCATTGCGCATTGCGGGGAAGACGGCTCCCAAGCCTACAGCACCTAGGCCAGCACAGAACATGTTCGTGGAGGACCTCACATCCATTCCTGAGCAAGCACATTGGAACCAACAGAAGGAATTTCATTTCTGTGCATATGGAATCCGGACTCAGAAGTCTCAAGCCCACAAGCCTGATTCACTGTCCAATCACACTTCCTATTGGACTGAAGAAGCCGAGGCACGATGATGATCCGGACCTTATCAAGTCATTCAGGGACATCCTTGGATCCGTGACGCAGCCGTCAGATCGCCCTTATGTTGATCACGTCGCGTCACACGAATTTTACTTCATCCTCGACGCTCAACATGCTCACCTTGGTTCACGGAAACCTCACGAGGAATCCGAAGTTGGACAGCCGGGAAGTGAAATCCATGTCGATGAAGGAAAGCCACTCATCATGATGATGTTGCACAACAGTGCCCACAGCGTTTGCCTCAACAAGGCCAAGCTGTTCATCAAAGTTGGCTACAAGGGCATCGTTCTCAAATCCTGGTCAGCAAAACCAATCGCACGCTTTGTCCGCGGCGGAAAGCAAGCCACAGTCAAACTATTGGCACGACACATTTCCACCAAAAGCCAATACTGGGGCAACCGCCGGACCGGACATGTTCATCGATCAGCAGAAGTACATTGGAACGCACCAACATGGCAAGCAAACTCCGACCACATACTTCGACAGCCGCCATGTGACAAGGGCAGACCTCCCATTCGCAACCATTGGTGGCGCTGCACATGCGACTGTGCCGCTGGGAGACCATCAGGGTCACCACCAAGGGCAGCTTGCGGCAGTGCAGCTGGCCGGGGCAAGGCTTCTGGGCAAGGGCCTGCTGAGCTTGCATACGGACCTTCCCCTCGTCTGGGCAGGTACTTGCCGGCAAGCCCGGTGGCTGTGTTGACACTCATGGCCAGGCGCAAGGCAAATTTTCAAATTTTGCACCGAGACCTTAATCCGGTAAGGTCTCGAGCGGCTTGAATGTTCGATGTGCGTTGGGTGCAAGGCACAAGGCCTAGACGGCAATGCTTTGGACACCGCTCCGGCTGGGTGCAAGGCAGTGCTTGGTTGTTTCCTGGGTGTACCGGAGGCCATATGAGTTGCAGAAGGCGGGGGCTCACTAGGCGTAAAGGCGCTGGCATGGCTACGACCATCAATGAGTTGCCAGTGCCTTCGGCGGATCAACCACTTGGGGGAAAAAGTCTTTCCCTATATGGCATAGTTCGAGCCCGGTTGGCTACATGGCGCCAGGCTTGACGTGCAGTCAGTCACGTTGCTGTGCATCTGAAAAGGAGGCAAGGCGCGACTGGCACGAAACATCACAGCGCAGGCCTTGGACCGCAGCTGACCGAGGCAAGGCAGGCTGTACCTGCAAAAAAGAGTTCATCGGAAGAGTAGTGCAGCCACGGCGAAAAACGGCATGCGAGGCTGAAAAGTTCTTTTCTCGACTGATCAGCAAGGCAAGGCAGTTGCACACTGTGCAGTGGCGCACTCACAAGTAAAAGAGCAACTGGTGACGTTTCAAAAGGAAACACAAGGCAAATGCAGATGTGAGTGCGCTGCGCTACCCCTAGTTCTGGTTGTGCTCATAGCACCTACTGCAAAAGTGCGCAGTGTGAGAACCCTCATCGAAGGCGCGGTTAGGGTCGATAAGGCGGCCACATGCGGAGTTGTGAGGGCACGGGCGTCACAGGGCAAGGCACAACAAAGGCGCCTCTGGTCATCCAGATACCACGACCACACCATTCGGCAGGTGTGCAGCGTGCCCGGAAGGCGCAGTGCGGGCTGGAGAACACATTGCTCCAGCTGGGCGATGGCCCGGCGGCTCACCGGAGCCGCAGGCCTAGCGCTGCAGGGCCAAGGCGATCAAGGCGTGCGCCACGAAGTCCGGACATTGTGTAACCAGCAAGGGTCAAGGCTGTAGCACCAGTGGTCTTCATCAATGCGCGTGGCATTGTTGGGAGGGCGATGAGAGGGCAGGACCCAGCAGTTGTACCACCAGCTCCGCCAATGCCTACAGCAAGCTTCAAAATGTCTACAATCCTGACCAAGGCATCATCCAGAAATATCAGAAGACATGGAACGCCCATTGCGGATCGATTGGCAACATGGCAACATCCTGCACCATGAAGTCAATCGTACGTCATCACCTCTATATGAAGACTGGATCCGGGTATGACAGAACATTTCCTGACTGTGTGATGACATTTGTATTTGGATGGGGAAAGACAGACATCCAAACACACATCCAGCAAGAGTTCCTCAGAGATTGGAAGTTTGACTGAAGCACAACTGACATCCAGGCAGGACGACTTTGAGAAGGTCATCGCTGACTACCAGGTCTCATTCAACGAACGCATCAAGCACATCACCAAAAAGACGCTGATGCTGGGTCACTGTAATTCCGGTTCACACAGCCCACTGATGGTCGGCAGCAAATCGGGAGAGAAACTGTTCTCGGACCAAGGAGTTCCTCAAGGGCAAGAAACAAGAGACAGCATGGAAGCCATGGAGCCAATACTCGTACGGCAATCAGGGATGGAATTCAGCGATTCGACCTGGAAAGATTTCGATTACGGCAGTCAATCTGACAGCAGCTGTCATTGGTACAACAAGAAATGATAAGCTATTGCAACTGCCTCCTTTGGCAACCATCCAGACCTCCTTTGGTCTTCATGATTTGCCAGGAATAAGGTTCTCAGATGCTCGATTGCGAGAGTTCACACGAAAACGGCACAACGAATCACGACCAATTGATCCTCATCGACGACGAGACCATAGTTTCACATCGATCCCGCGTGCACAAAGCGTTTTGCATCCTCTTTTGATACAGTTAGGTATCTCACATCAAGAGTACAAACCGTTTTCCAGTTGTCACCAAGACTTTTCATCCGCGCAGCAAAAAGGATGCAACAAGTATTTCAATTTCAATATGGCTACGGCATAACACAAAGGCTACGGCCAAAGGCCAAGAAGCCAGGAATTTCATAGTAATTCAGTGCTGCAGATCAAAAGAATCGTGTCTGTTTTGTGTTTTATTTATACCTTGATCTCCATGCAACCGTCTGGCTCAAGGCTCTTTCTTGTACAAATTGCACCATTCATGCGATAGCTACATAAAAGGACTTATTGCAGGCCGCTTACAGTGAAACACAGCAATCAGAGCCGCCGGGGACTATCCATTCTCTTCCACTCCATATTGACATATTGGATGTCCTGCGGAATAGATCCAGGGACCACATATACGATCCTCTACTACCACAAGGTATCCGTTCTCTTCTGGGATAAGATACCCCCGGCAGTGGGACTCACCCCCCCCCCCCCACAAAAAAAAAGAAGAAGAAGAAGAAGAAGAAGTGATGTTCCGTTTGGTTTCCCCTTAAAACCACCCCACCTGAAAAAAGACACACCCAACTAAAGATTCCTCTATTAACATGTGGTTCACCCAAATGGAGATTCCATTTGAAGCATTTTGGGTTTGAAGGTTCCATGTTAATCTGCAGGAAGGCAGCATGCAATCCGAGAACCCTGAACAAAAACTGGGCATGTCCCTTTTGAAAGGGTACCAACTAGTTAGTATTTGCTTAAACGGGAAGCCAAAGGACTGTTTCTTCTCAATTTGGCGGGTTTTGAAAAAACTCGAGCTCGGACGACTCTCCTGAGGAACACGCCTGCCTCATTGGTTCACAAAGGAGGTACTGGACCCCTAGAAAGGGTAGCAATGCCTCGTCATTCCCTTTCAGGCGCCCTCCAAGGGTGCCCGCACAGATGTCTAAGCCAAGGGTCGCGCTTGGGCTCCCCCAGTCCATTTTGTCGAGTCTTCCAAGGGACAAATGGATGTACAAATGGACCGGCGATTTCAACTTTTAGGAGTGGGGACAACCTGCCAGGTCTGTGCGCTTCGCTGCTTTTGTGGTGGTAGCATCTCGTGCTGCGACTGATCTGGAGAATGCGGCCAGTCAACGACAGACTACCACGAATTTCGTCAGTTGCTCACATGATGAAAGCCCCTATGTGGGCCCTGGTCATAAGTCCCTGAATAGGAACTCTTTTGGTGACTGCGTAAAACCCTCTCCAGGTCAGGGATTGATGACCATGCCCAAGAACCTCAAGGCCAGTTCACACAACTCAGACTTCAAGGCATGCGGCCGATCCTTCAGGCGTTGGTGCTCAGGGCAAGCACATGCAAGTACTTCACGTAGGCATGTTGCAGTGCACCACAGCATTCTGAAACAAAGGGCCTTCTGACCTGGCTAAATGTCGCAGATGCCGGCATCAAATAGATTGGTTCCCAAAGGCAAGAAAAAAAACTGCCTGGAAGGCAAGTGCTAGGCACCGTCGTTCGGGTTCCGGGTTTGTGGTAGGGTATGCAAATCACCCGGATGGCCAAACACGGCAGGTCACATAAGCCGACCCCCAAAACGCTTGGTTTCTACCCAAAGAGCGCAAGGTGCAGGAATCTGGATCCTACCATCCGTCAGCATGAACCTGCCCTGTTTTGCCCTGCCCCCAGTGATCAGGCTTCACTGGATTCTTCCTGGGCAGTTGGAATTGACTGAAAATGCTACTTCAGGTCCAAACATGTCAGATTAAGAGATTCCTGCGCATGCTTTTGTCTCAAAATATGGGGACCCTCAAAATTGACGGATGTCCATTTGTGTTCTTCCTCCCTTTCGAAAAGGGTACCTTTGCAGAAAAGCATGGCCTATTATGTCCCCCTTTGCTCAGCGAGTTTCCTGCGGGGCTGATGCTTCAAGGGAAATGTAGCGAAACCTTTCCGGCCTAGAGTTCCATTTCCTGACCCCAGGGGGGCATCCCAGGTCTTCGCCTGAGCAAATCAAGTTCCGGGTTTTATGTTGATCAGGGGTGCCCCTTTGGAGCAAATCAACCACTAGGTGTCACTCTACCTGGGGGGAAACGGACGCGCAACCAAACCTGAAGAGTCCCCAACGTCGATTCGAGCCACCTTGTACCCGGGCGGTGGCATCTCACAGCCCTTGGACATGTTCATGATGCAGACCTCAGAATCCGGGCATTCCGTCAAAAGTGGCTGGGGAAAATAAGAAACATGTCGAATCCATCCTTTTTTGAAGGTCCAAACGAGACATCACCCTCTCGAAAAGGCCTTAAGGGCAAATAGGAGATGTTGGGCTGCTTTTTGCAGGTGAAGGATCGAGCAACCCTAAATAAGGTCCTAGGAATCTGCATGGGGCCCGATTTCTCGGGCATAATCAGCCAAATGGATTGCGAAAACATTTGTCTCCCCTCTCTGAATACAGGAAAGCCAGAGTGGGGTTGGCGACTAAGAAGGCCTTGGAGCTAATAGGCTTCTTTTTGAACGACTTTTTGCGGGGATTCCCTCGAACACTTCCTGTTTGGTTCATTGATTCGGGAACCCCCCCCAATTCCCTCAAACCAAAATGGTACATAGGAAACGACTGTAGATGTGAGAAAGAAGCTTCCGCTTCCGGAGCCAAGTCCCATTCCGGCAAGGCCCGACACAATCCTGGCACATCCTTTTGGGGAGTTCTGCTGGGATCCCCTAAATGGGGCCCCAAACAAATCAGGGGGGTTGGATCCTGGGCACCTTTCCACCAAATGGTTCTGGAAGCTGACATGGAACATCACCATCGTGGCTTCACTAAAATGTCACGATGCATTCCCTTGGCCGCTCGGTCCAAAGGGAAAAACCGATATTTTGTCCACAAGATCTCCGTCTGCCACCGATTCGGAAACCCAAAAAGGCAGAAGCATGAAGACAGCTCTCTTGTTGTGTCAAAATAGGACGCGAAGCGGATGTCGTCCGGACACGACGGGCCCAACGCATCGGTCGGTTGCGCCGAAGCGGCCGCCACCCGGGAGTAGACAAGCGCCTGCCGCAGATGCCGCTCCAGCTGGGAGCCCTCCTGGTGCTATCTGAGCTCGGGGCTGAATTTTTCCACTGGCCATGGGTGGCTAGAAGCCCAGTTCTCCCCACATAAGAAACTGAATTAGCAACACATTACCAATTCTGTGGCCAGTGCATCAGGAATTGTGGGGGTTGGATGTCCCATTTGGGGGAGGATTCAGACTTCAGACACCACACCCGAAATATCGGAGAAATGTCGGCAGAAACAAAGATAAACAATCCTCTCCGCTGGAAGTGCTTTCCTTCTCAGGGATGCCCTCTTTCAGCTTGCATGTGGCCCTGTGTCAAAAGCAGGAACAATCTTGTATAGGTAAGAACATGAAACCAACCACTGGAGGGCCCCTGTTGACCCATGTCCGCGCTTATCTAATTTCGGATTCCCAACCTCCTGGGAAGATCCTTTATAACTCATAGAATCGTGACTCAGAGCTCATAATGCAGTACCCCCTCCATACCTCCAAAACCCATACCCAGATTGGCCCTTGGACACCCGTATAAACATCACCAGTTCCCGAAGCCAACCCCCAAACCGCCCGATCGCATCGCTTCCGATCGCCTTGGGGAGCTCGGGGCCCAGCTGGGGCCGGGAAGAAATGCAGCTCAGCTTCCTCGGGCGAAGCGCGGGGCTTTCTCTCAAACATGGACCCCCCGAGATAGCAAGGTGGCGGCATGTGTCCCGTCAATGTCCCGAGAAAAAACCAGAAAAAGAAAGAAGAAAAACAACGAAATGGGGCTCACCCTGTTTTTCAGTGTTCTTGTTGAGGGTCCAGGGTGCTTTGTGAGGCTCGGTACCCGTTTTGGGGGTCGATTGAAAGGGAAACAAAGGGATAACCGAAACCTTTTTGGGGGTAGCCCTGTTTGGACCCGTACTTAAACGACAATCAAACTCTACCACCTGTACCTCTGTGTAGATGGTGTGGAGAAAACATGCACATTAGCGAAGGACCATGTATGCATGTATGAATATATGCGTGTATGCGTGCGGGTCTCGACGTAAGTGCGTACGGGTGTGTATGTGGTATGAGTTGGTGTCAGGGTGCTAGTGAGAGTGCTGGTGGTGACTGGCGGCGGTGCTTGTTCGGTTGTCAGGGTGCTGGTCAGGGTGCTGGTCAGGGTGCTGGGCAGGGTGCTGGGCAGGGTGCTGGTCGGGGAGCTGGTCAGGGTGGTGGTCAGGGAGCTGGTCAGGGTGCTGGTCAGGGTGCGTGTCAGGGTGCTGGCGGTGACTGGCGGTGCTTGTTCCCAGACAGCTGAAAGCTATAAGGGGTTGAATCTTGTAAAGAGGCGCAGGCTGCTTTGCAAGTTCGGGCCAGGGTGGTGGGTGCTGCAGGTGCTGGTCAGGGTGCTGGTTGGGTGATGGAGGTGCTATGCCGGTTGCTGGCAGTGCCTGTTTGCGATGCAAGGGTGCTGCAATCTCCCATGCTATCTGGGGTTTATGCTGGTGTAATTGGTTTCAATTTTAATCCGCCCGCCCCTCACACTGGGCCAACTCCCGTCAACCCGATTGCGGGCGAGGAGTCATCTCAGCGCAGGCCTTCATGATCCAATCCTCAGCAAAGGAACGCGGCTTCTGAGAATTCCCCCCCCCCAGATATGGGTACATATGTCTATGAGTTTTCAGGATCTCGCCTTCTTGCATTGATATGTTTGCCTTTGATCCCAAGTTGTTGGTGTTTTGTTTGCTGAAAGCCATGTAAGCCAAAGAGGGTATAGGAAACTATGGGAAACTATGCCTTGTGTGTCAAAAAAGCAGCACCGGAATTCGGGCCCCGGCTGAAACCTCGTCCTCCCCCCCCGGCTCGACCCCTTCCAACCCAGGCGCCCCGAAGAAGCGGGCGAAGTCCTCGCCGGAGGTGACCGGCGAGGTGCAGGTCACGCAGACCTTTCGGCGCTTGCCGTTTTTTGGTTCCAAAGCCAAGCTATTCCAACAACATTCAACCCAAACCATTCAGCCCAAGCTATGCCAACAAAATGAACCATTCAACGCAAACCATTTAACGCAAACTATTCAAAGAGACATTGGTTTTCAGATTCCTTCCAATTGGTGACTTGGTCATGGGTCAAAAATCCAGTACCCGCAGTGAGCATCCCAATCCCCACTAAAATAGACTAAAATGGGTGGTGCACCTACCCCAAAATGGTACCATTGGTGTTGAACCATGGCCATTTGGATTGGGGATTGGGTGGTTAAGGAGTGGTTCAAATCCAACTCCGAACCACCAATCCAAACCACCGACTAGGGACAACCTTTGGTTTCGAGTTTCAAGCGGAAACCAACAGGAAAACAAGAGGTGTTTGTTTTCCAGTAAATGGACACCAAAAGGAAAACAAACTGTTGTAGTACGTTGTGTTTTGTTTTGTTTTGGTCATTTTTTGGAGGGGGAACTGGTTTAACGCCATGTGTGCTATTTAGCGGGCGAGTATGAGTAGACTCAAGGGACACCCTAATCAAAATCCCTACAAGAAATATTGGCAGTTTCAGGAGACCTTAAACAAATCTAAAGGAACATCGTCCAGTTCAAAGACAAAAGGACGGTTGCCCTGTTTCGCCCTTGCTTTTGCAAGCTCATGACACGGCATTCGCTTGATGCCGGGATGTGCATGGCCTCGCACTCGTGATGGCTTTGGAAAATGCCCCGCAACAAGGTCTGCCCCCACCGTTCGATGTGCTCCTGGGGGAGTTGGCTCGATTTTATGACAACTTCGCCCACACTTCCCTCAAGTTCTGTAAGGCGAAGGGAACTGAAAGGAGGCCGCGGGGAAGCACAGTGGCCAGGATTCCAGAAAAAGAATGGGAACGGGAACCCCGAATTCGTAAACCCTCGAGTAAATCTTTTCGCGTGCCGGTTTCAGTGATTTCTGTCTTCCAGAACCTTCCTTTCTCGGGGAACCACTTTTCTCGAACACCTGAGGGGGTTGTGAATCACGGCTCAACATTAGCACGCAATTCTGCCTTTGCTTGGGGTTCATTCCAACGCCAGTACCCTAACGGGGTCTATCTTTTCATCCAAGGTAGACTTGACTCCCATGGGTTCCCAGTTTAAGCGCCCTTGCAGTCTGCCTTGCCCAGCTGGCTGTCCAGTGACACCGGTAGACAAGGAAGTATCCATCGGGGCAGCCCCCAACATCTTAGGCCTCCCTTTTGAGACTGGAGGGACGCAAATTAATCACGTGGTGCCACACCGAACCCAAAACGGACCCCAGAACTGCAGCCACAGGCGCGTCGTGCTGCGGCAAGTTGGGTCCTTCGATCCGAAGGAGAGGCTCGATGTGTCAAAGGCGCACCCTCCATGCGATGTCGGTGTTCCTTTTGGTTTCCCTTTAAAACCACTCAAAAACGGGTACCCGCTCAAAAACACACAGTTGCTTCAACTAAAAAACGTGTTGCCTCACCTTCAGACACAAAGGACTCGGGCGAATTAGAGGTGTTTTGGGGAAAACTGTATTGTTTCGCAAGAGTCCTTTGGGAGGAGTCGGCGTATAATCCACAGACTGGACATAGCGGCTTCGCCCGGACCCCGAATCGCTGAGATCGAAATTTGTGCAGAAGGACCACCCCATTATTGCGTGCCAAGCGGGCCCCGGCCATGGTCTGGGCAAGTTGCAATGAAACCAGCAGAATACACCAGAGACAAGCTGGTCGCTTGCCAAATCTTGAGGGGCAAGTTCCCCTAAGCGGTTTAGGGGTTCCTAGACCCCACGAGCTTGGTGAAACCACAATCAATCGTACAAAAGGGGGGCACCCAATGTCGAGATATCGCTGGGCCAAAGGAAGACAGACAGGCAGACAGGCAGGCAGACAGACAGACAGACAGACGGGACAGGACAGGACAGGACAGGACAGGACAGACAGGACAGACAGGACAGACAGGACAGACACAGACTGACAGACTGACAGACTGACAGACTGACAGACTGGCAGACTGACAGACTGAAAGACTGAAAGACTGACAGACTGACAGACTGACAGACTGACAGACTGACAGACTGACAGACTGACAGACTGACAGACTGACAGACTGACAGACTGACAGACTGACAGACTGACAGACTGACAGACTGACAGACTGACAGACTGACAGACTGACAGACTGACAGACTGACTGACAGACAGACAGACGGACAGACAGACAGACAGGCAGGCAGACAGACAGACAGTATCATACAGACATACAGACACACGACAGACATACAGACACACGACAAACAGATAGACGAAAACAAGGAAAGAAAAGCGGCAAGCAAGCAAGCAAGCAAGCAAGCAAGCAAGAAAGCAAGCAAGCAAGAAAGCAAGCAAGGGAACGGAAGGCAAGGGAAGGGAGAAAGAGAAATGAAAACAACACCGTTTTTGCAGCGATCTCTCCTCTCGCCACGGAGCTTGCACAACCCATGCCATGGCAGGTTCGCACATCGGGCGGGCGTCTCGGGAAGGAGACCAATGCAGCTCCCCGCAAGCCTGTCCCCCTCTTGTTTCGCTTTTTTGGGGTTAACCCTTTTTGGTTTACTTTTGAAGGACTCCCATAAAGCGGGGCTTCCCCTATTTCGAGACAAACTCATGGTGGAAAATTACACTGTTTCTGCGATACCAAGCTTGTCGATTGCCATGACTACCTTGTCGCACCATGTCCACAACCATGTGTGGGGTTGTCTTAAAGGAAATCAACCAATTGGGGTGGTGCCCCTTTGAATTCCCTTTAAATCACCCCACAACTGCTATGACACCCACGTGCCTTTTAGAAGGGGCAAACTTCCGGCAAAAGACAGCAATTGTGCTCGGAAAGCAATCTGGATTCTCAGACCCTCCAGAACCTGCGTGGGGTCATTTGCAGACTTGGAGCCTGCGTGGGTTGTGAGGCCGAAAGGGTGACATGCTGGACCATCAAAAGGAAAAGACGGTCCAAAAAGGGGAACTATTTCTGTTGACCCCTAGTGTTCTTCCGCATACCTGACGCACCATAACTGCAACTAAGTGCTGGCCCTGACATAGAACCACGAGGCGGCGGGAAGGAGGTAAAAAAAACAAAGATCTTCCTTCGGCAATTTCACGTGCAATTCCTTTGGCAAGAAGTCCTTTGGTTGCTGACGCCAATGGCCAGCAGAAGCCGCCAAACTTGCTTGCGTTCCTCGGAAATACCACGAAAAGGGTCTCAACCGGTTCTGAAAACAATGCCCCCACCCCCCAACCGAGAACCCTCAGTCTGTCTGTTGTGAGGATTCCCTTTTGAGGTTGTTTTGAAGGAAAACGCCTCAGAGGCACTGCCCATCTTGGGGTTTCGTCCACGCGAAGAGACCTGTGTGCAGGGGTTCCACACTCACACCATAGTTCACGCACTGAGCTGGGAACTTGTGGTTTTGGCGGGGTCTCCTTTTTCATGGAACTCCTTTTTGGGTGTGTTAAAATGAAACCAAAGGGACGCCCAAGCCCAATTTGGGACCGGTGACTGCCCCTCCCCCCTCCCCCAGAAAAGAGACCCAAATAAACTTGAAAATGTAGGCTCTCCCTCCCAAATTGATATCAACATTGATCATACTACAAAGGACAGCCTAGAAACGGACAAAAGGGACATATCAACTCGCCAAAAGGGAAATGCTAGAAAGCGCTCGGCCCTTGAATCCTTGGCCACGGACGTCGTTGACGCCCTTCTCTGCCTCACGGCACACGGCGAATGCATGCCATCTCAAGCTCCCACCCACCCCCCATGCCCCATGTTTCCCCCAACCAGACCCTCACAAGGCTCATTTGGGGGAAACGGAGCAGGGGACTGCATGGGGGTTGGAATCTGCAGAATCCTACGATTTCGGGATGTCTCTCAGAACCAGGAACCCCTTTTTCGTGTGTTGATTTTGAAAAGCAAAAGGATAGCCAGAAAAACATGGGACCTTTTTTTTGGATGACCATATATTCGGGGAGAAAAAAAGCTAGAAGGAAGCCAAACGCCGACAAACTTGGTCACGCATCGTGAGAAGCTAGGCAAGAAACCAGGGCCCAGAAAAGGTTCTGACTGCAATCCTGATCCATAGTCCCTCTTGGAGAACCACTACGCAGGTTGTTCCTTTCGTGATCTAATGAACAGCCCAGTCAGGAACCTAACGGTGACCAATTCTTAATACCCTTCGGGAAGAGTAGAATCTCTCACAGGGAAAACAAATCCCCATACCAAGCATGATGCAAAGACTGCGAAGCGATTGTTTCCCATGAAAAAAGGGGGTGACAAATTTGACACCCGCCGTTTGAGACAGATCCATCTGAGGCCCCCGGCCCAGTGCCTCCAGGCGGTCCACTCGCCGCCATCCGCCAGCAGGCGCCGGGCTGTGAGCTGGCACCTGTCCCGCGTTTCTACCATGGCCGTGGCTGAAACGGGATCCGAATTGGTGGTGCTCTCTGTTCATCCAACACTGGATGCCAAGGAAAACACAACATGGGTGGTTGTCCCTATTGTTCCCTCAAAAGAACTATTGTTCTCTGTCGTTCATCAAAAGAAGTCAAAGAAAATACAAAAATGGGGGGCCCCAAAAACCAGCCCCGAAAAGAGGTATCAAAAAAACATTGGATGTGTCCAATGTTTCTGAAAATGCGGCTTCTAACACTGTTGGATGTGTCCAATTCGAAAAGTGGGTCCCAAAAAAGGAAGGCTGGCGTTTACTGGCCGGTGAGGCCATATCCCCCGCATCACCAACATGAGCTCTCAACTGCATTGGCAAAAAGGCGATGCTGCTTCGTGACGGATGAGAGCCAAATAGGGGGTGGCTCGAGATTTAAGAGCCAAGGGACGGCGGGTTCCATACGTGTTCATCTACCAGGGGTCCATTGTGGGCCCCCATTCTTGAGCCACACCCAAATGATGCCAAGAAGCCAACCTGAAAGGCAGTCGACTCTATAACATTGCTCCCATTCGACCCTAGAATAGAAAGTTAGTGCATGGAAATATTTTAAAAAAAAAGAGCCCATACCAATTTCCCACCCAAGTGGTTTTGCTCGTTGTTTTGATCCGAACAACAAAATCGGCTCCTGGACTCGTTTCCGCAAGAGCAACCCGGCGAAGCAAACTCGCGCCAAAATTTTGAAGTTTGCCGGTCTTTTCGAGTCACCTCCCAAAGGTCAACCGGTCATTTACCGTGATTTGTAGCTGGTCATGGAATCAACCACCAGGGGGAGTCCTCTTTTCTCAGCATACACCTCATTAGGAGACCAGAGGCCAACGAACCGAACGAAATCTGGGGGTGCCGGCGTCTCCTGAAATCCGATGCAGCAAATGTCGGGGGAGGGCTCCTGGAGTCATGTGGACACTATAGTCAATTTCGCAGCACCGAAACCTCATTTTTTCCGTCAATGGGCGAATGTTATTAAAACAACCAAACCCTGGCTAACTTGAAGGTAAACTGAAAGGAGGTTGACAATACCCTCTTTCCAACAATTGTGGAAGGGGTGTCCCCAAAAGGAAAGTAGAAAGTCCTCGAATCAGCTTCCATGATTGCTAGAGGGAGCGTACCCTCTAGCAGACGTTTGCACAAAAGGCCGCGAGTGTCAGTGGACATACCTTCCCACACGTTGAACCTTAAATCGTGGCTTGATCAAAACCAAGGAGTGTTCTTGGGAAAGTCAACTTCCCCCTTCCTGGCTTGGATTGGTTGAGCCGCCAATTGCGCCCCAAAAGGGAGATTCCCACTTGGCCTACAGACTGACCTGGCAGAAAGATCCGTGCTTGTGGCCCCTTCAAAGGCAACGTGTTGGGTGTCTCTTGGTGGCCGTTTTCAGCTTGAAGGGACAATTTTAAGAGAAGCTAATCATTTGGGGAGGTACCCCTTTGAGGCCGACCTACTTGCACAAGACCAGCAACCAGGCGATTGCCCCTTGGAAGGCAGCTATGAGTGGGCCAGACAAGCTCGAAGGGAATATGAAGGAAAACCAAGCAGGCAAGAAGGCCAAACGGAAAGACCGGGAAAGCTGTGTCTGTCAAAAGTGGCCAAAACTGCGGAGAGCCGAAGGATTTGGCCTTTCGAGATTCTAGTTGCCAGCAGCCATGGTACGATAGCAGGGCTGTTCTTTTGCCCATCTGTTCGGGCGTGGCGGAGGTTTGGAGTTGGAATCCCCTTTTTGGGGGTGGGATTGGTGGTTTGGTGGGTAAGGGGTGGTTCCCATTTATCTCCACAAGAACCCAGGGTTCAAATCCTCAATCCACCAATCCAAACCACTCATCAAGGCTTCCCGAGGTTAAACGGGAAGCCAAAGGAAAACACGCGCCTATAGAGCTGGCCCACGTCCAAGCCCTTTTTACACAAGCTTGCAACTTGAAACCCTTTTGACATTTCCCTTTAAAAGCCTAGGTTGGCTGGAAACACTGCGGAATGATCAATCCAATTCCGATGTCCTTTAGAAGCTAAAAAACCATGTTCTAGCATCCAGAAACCAAGCCCAGAAAACAACTCCCCTGGCTGCCATGTGGCCCCTCAAGATCTCACATCCCTCACCGAGATAGGCAGGATTCCAGCCCCCCAAACCCCCCGTCTCCTTTTTTCTCGAAATAAAGGCCTTGAGGCCTTGTTTGAAGGACACCAGGGAATGCATGGTCAAATCCTATGAAAATGTTCGCTTTAAAGTTGGTGTCATTTGAGCTTTTCACGGTGTTCCTGCAAAGCAAGCCCAAAAGGGTACCTTTAAAAGGGACACGCCCCAACCGCCAATCCACAAACCAACCCTTGCGCCCTTTCCTCGTCCAGCACCGCCTCCAGCGATTCTTCGGGCCGCGGGCAGGTGGCTGCGACGTTCCAGGTGAGGCAAAGCCTCAGGCAAGGCAATAGGTGAAAGTAGATAGCACATGTCCCTTTAGGTTGGTACGTAAGGATCATTGTTAGCCTGTTTTGTTTTAAACTGGTACTTGAGAGGGGTCAAACGAAAAATCCTTTTGCGATGGTTGAAAGGAAAACCACAATGAAACTACCATGCAACAGACGGGAAGGTTCCTGTTTGTTTCAGAAACGCCCGTTTAAAGGGGCTTCTAAACTGACCATCCTCAAAACAACATGTGGCTCTTCCTTTCAACCAAGTGTCCGATACGTCCAGTTTCAAAATGAATCACCCTGCTGGCAATGCTTGAGCCACCCAAAAGGGTGCGTCTTCAAACAGGGGAACCACCCCCAAATGGGGCCTATTTTCCCTCTGGTGTCCCTTTAACCATCCCTCAAAAGGGAACTGTTAAGGCGAAAACGGTACAAGACACACAAAAAGCCGCTTTTTCAGGCTACAGGGTCCAAGACACAACCCAATATCCTCAACAACTCCAAGAATTGCAAAAAAGCATCAACTCCCAAAAACCAAACCTCAACAGCCGAAATCATAAATCATGGCAACTCCCAAAAAGACGCCAGGCTGCAGCCGCAGCCGGCGGTCATCTGGGCAGCTGAGTTCGCCTGGGAGAATCGGTCGTATGGGTACAAGCCATGTGGTTCTCCCATGTTCATATTGGACAGGAACTCAAACATTGTCCGAGAGTAGTTTTTGAGACACACCCAACCGCGGTGGTGAGAAATAACCTTTGTGAGCATGTGCTGCTGATGCGGGTGATGCCTGTGATGTGATTGCACGCTCAGAACCAACTGCTAGTGATGTTGATGATGCTAGCAATGCTGGTGATGAAGATAATGGTGGCAATCATGGTGATGCTGGTGATGCTGGCAATGTGGCTGCCCGCTACAATTCTTGTGCTCCCTGCAATGCTGATGATGCTAGTGATATTGGGGATGCATGCACATGTTGATGGCCATCGCTCTATCCAGGTCACGCACGCCGTCAAACCCAAAGGCACATCTTGGCTGGCTGCCAAAGATTGAATCCCTTTCGAGCCGGTGTTGTGCTAAGCTTTCCTAGTAACATCGCGGGCACTCAACAGGGAGCTGCTGGTGAACACTGGTTTTTGGAGTCGCGCAAAGTATCACAGTTGCTCGTGAAATCTTGGATGGCAATGTTTGTTTAGTCATCCCCCATTTTGGGACAAGTCCCCCCCTTTACGCACCCAGAGGGATAAAAGACAGCCGTCTACGTTCACCCGCTTCGATTTACCCCCCCCACAAATCCAACATGCAACCTGACAGAGGCGTCCTGGTTTGGACCAGTTTCCGGCAAAGAAGGGACCTTCTGCGGGAGGGTACGGCAAAGCCTCGCGGCTCGAGGTTCCGGCGCGCCACCGCGTTCGCCATCTCCTTGCGCGTGCGACGGGGCTGCTGCGGCAGCCACACCTGTCAGCAAGGGAGGCGCCAAAAGTAAGCCAAGCCAGCTGACCTTTCGTACCAACATGGTTGTGCCCTGGGTCAATACCTCAACATACTCTCCCTTACAGTTGTATCTTAGAAGTTAGAAGTTTTTGAGTTATACAGATTTGTATGGCTGTTGTCCGTGTGAGTTGGTGAACATGAAACTCCACCTGAATGATGTTCACCAACAGGTCCCGAATGCAAACTCATATATCATATAAGGACGACTATCCCCTCATTCAACCAGGTACCACTATACCCCCAGGGTTCACATCATCTGCCTTAACTAAAGGATTCCACAAAGGCGACCCATTTTCAGACGAGTCTCCCTATAGAATACCCTTTGGGGGGGTTCATGTTAATTTGCAGGGGAGTGCAAACTGGATGGAATGCGTTGAACCCAACTCACAGAAAGGTGAAACCTTGGGTGCACAGGTGCCTCAACTGACAGAAGGGCACCTTTTGGGATAAGGGAAATCGACATGGAGACGAACACTCATCTCTGGTTAGTTGAGACAAAGAGCTTGAGTGGAACCCTGGCGAAGGATAAGGCCAGCAGACGTGGCTTGGCAGCTTTCGGGTGGTGCTTGAAGAGGAGCGGTCCCCCAATTTCAGAACATCCCCGGAGCAGCGCTACGAAACTCGCAAGTCCAAGTGGGTTTTAGCCGTTGTGCACCAATTGCTCACTGGGATAATTCCTGATGTTCACCTTTGTTTGTCTTCTTCTTCTTCTTCTTCTTCTTCTTCTTCTTCTTCTTCTTCTTCTTCTTCTTCTTCTTCTTCTTCTTCTTCTCTTCTTCTTCGTCTTCTTCTTCTTTGTCTTCTTCTTCCTGTTCTTCTTCTTCTCCTCCTCCTTCTCCTTCTCTCCTTCTCCTTCTCTCCTTCTCCTTCTCCTTCTCCTTCTCCTTCTCCTTCTCCTTCTCCTTCTCCTTCTCCTTCTCCTTCTCCTTCTCCTCGTGATTCTTCTTTCCGAAAGCTGACATTCCTGCATCTTTGGGGTCTAGAAGAAGGTCCCCTGAAATCAAAGGATCCAAACCCAAGCCCCCTCCCACACCCTTGTTTCTCCCTACAATTGAAGTTAGGCTAGGGTTCTATTTGGAGCCAAGGGCTTGCCAGTCAAACTATCCCAATCCCCCTTGGACCTCCCAGAGGACCTCCATCGGTTTCAGGGAATAATTTGCCGACGCAGCTACTTGATTCAAAGGCTGGCACCCGTCTCAAAAAAGGTGCAAAGGCAACTCCCTCAGCCCGGTTTGGACCGCGAAATAGGAGGTGACCTTTCAAGATTGGACCAAAATGGGAAAACCAAAAGGTCAAGGTCGATTTCGGGCAAAAGCTTTTTGCAAAGGGGTTCCAAGTCTCGCTTCTTGAGTGGATTGGCCAAAAACAATTACCCAAACGGTTTATTTGCCACTCAAATGATCCAAACTTTCAAAACCCCAAAAGTGACTCAAGTCCATGAACTCAGGAAGTAAGAAAGCCATGTCTTTTCGGGTCCCCTTAGTGAAATCTGAAAACGAGCCACGAGCTTCGCCTCGTGCGCCGAGGAGAGCTTCGCCTGACACCCGGGGCCCCGGTTCCTGGAGACTGGGATTGGGGGACGCGCAGGGAGAAACTCTGGGAGATTTTGCATGGAGTTTCAAGGGGGCGGGGAGAAACTCCTGCCTCTCCTTTGTTTGTGGGCCCCCAAAGTTGGAAAAAGGCCCTCTGGGCAAAATTGCATGGAGTCTTGAGGGGGCCTTCCGCCAAAAACGGATAGCCATGGAATTGTCAGGTAGACAGGTACTCATCCGTTCTTTTGAAGGTCGGAGTGTTTTAAACACTCCCATGTTCAGAGGCACCCATTTTACCCGTACATTTGACGAAAGGCTCCCCATCGCTTCTTTTGAAACAAACAGTTTTCCTGGGCGCAATTGGGGATTTTCTGAAACACAAAAAAGGAGGTTGCACAATTGATCAAACGGCACTTCCCCCTGTCAGATCGCTTTCAACGTGTGCTTTGATCTGTGGGGGCTGAATCAAAAAGTCCCAACCTGAGTTGTTTGAACATCCAGACCCCGACCCCATGTGACACCCACCAACTTATATGGTTGTAAATGGAAATTAAAAGGAAAACCACCATTTTGGAGGGTCTCCAAAGAAAGGACGCACCCTTATGAAAACCTAGCGACCATGGGGAGTGTGCCATGGGAGAAGCCCCCCACAAAAGCGAAACCTAAAGGAAGCCAATCCAAGGGCGCATCTTTGAAATGGGTGACCTGAATTATTGGGGACTGCTCCAAGTGGGTTCCTGTCGGTTTCTCTTTATTTCGATGTCCAAATTCTAGACCAACCAATTAGGTATGGTATGTCTTCTTTGAGAGAACCCTTTTTCGGGTTGTTTCCAAGGACATTCCACACAGAAACCACCAGTTTGGCGCGTTTACCTTTCTCGAGAAAAAAACAACTGGCTATGATTGGGGAACGTTAGTGCAGTTTCTGATGTGCACCAAAGGACCGCAGTGAAACGCATATGCGTGATTCCTTTTGGTAGAGGAAATCAACCAAGAGAAGGCCCATTGTTCTGTTTGTTCTTCCAGACCCAAAATGCATGCATCCAGAAAGTGCTCGGGCCGCCGTCGCCTGCAGGGCGCCTAGTGTGATGCCCTGCCCCATCTGCCAACTCCCCCCCCGCATTTCCCCAGTCCCGCCAGCTCCATGGGCAAATAGTCCCGGTAGGCCCAGACCTGGCAGACAAAATGTTCCCAGATTCGAGGATCGCAAGCGCCACTTGCATGGATGCATCTCTCTCCAAAAGATGGGACCCCCTTTTGGATTTAGGGATATAAGGGCAAGCACGGGCAAAGTGGGTCAAAACCTGACCTCCCCTGGCCCTCGTCCTTTGATTTTGGCTTCCGATTTCGCGCCGCGACGACGCGCAACCGGTGAGACGTTCCATCGAGCTCAGACCTTTTGCCTCTGCTCGAAGTTGCGCTTCCGTGCCAGGGATGTTTTCCAAACACCGGGCGGCAACTTGCTGAGACGCGGTTCAAACAGCTTGGGATCCAAAAACTGTTCGTTCCAAAACACCCGAATTGCTGAATGAGAATCCCTGCAACGTTGCTTGGTAGCTGCTTCTGGCACAAGCGCGCGCTTGGCGGTCAAACCTGCAAACCTTCGCATTCTGTGAAATGAGACCGAACGATTCTGGAGCACTTGAGGTGCAAATTCATGTCAACACGCCTAATTTGGATTCTTAGCCAGTTCAAGCTGCAGGTGGTGGATAAACTAATAAACTTGTTTGCTCGGCAAAGCAATGCCCCCACCCCACCCACCCCTCCACCCCCAAAAAAATAACGCCTTCCTTTTGGTTTTTCTTGAAAATGAAAAGGGGGTATGGATCTGTTGTATGACCCATCCCTTGTTGGTGTCCCATCCCCTGTTGGTTTTTTTTTCTGGCAAACTACCCAAACAGGCTAGACTGTTCAATGACCGTCTAATGTACCACATCAAGTAAAATCAATGCTGTTTTATTTGAATGTATGGCCTAGGTTCTAGCAAAATTGAGAATAGAAACCCCAACTTGTTGGGTTCCATACTTAAAGGGGCGATCGGGTGCTTAGAAAGTGGTTCGCAAGCCTGGTTATAACCCACTTACAATGGTTATAAAATATAAGACTTCAGTGGGTTAGAACCAGGCTTGCTAACCACATACCTGACGTACCAACTCGACCGCCCCTTGAAGCACCCAAAAGAAATAATTGTCCGACATCGCCAGGTGCTGAATTGCTCCTTCATTTTAACATCTGGCCTATGGCCTGTGGCCAAAATGGAGCAAAGGGGCCCCAACTTGTGTTCCATAGAGTACAGTCACCTCACGCAGATGTCTTTAGCGCTCAGTCACTCACTTCAGTGGGGGCGGCGCCATCTGGGGCCCCTCCCCTGGCTCGGCGTCCCGGTCCTGGCTCGTCTCTTTTACGGCTGGACCCCCCCCAAAAAAGCGCGGGCTTCCTGGTCTTTTCCCGTTGTTTTTCCCCACAAAAAGGGGGGGGACCCCCCAAAAAACGGACAAACCCATGCAACTACCCCCCTGTTTGGTGTTCCACAAGCCAAAAGGAAGCCAGGGCTCCATTTTGAGAAACGCCCATGTGGGGGACTTCAAAACCAACTCGCCAAGCTGGATGTCTCTACTGGCACCCCAAACGATGGCTTCGGTGTCCTTTCCCTTTTGAAATCCTCAAACGTTGGAACCCAGAACGTTGGCTTCGCCGACTCCTTCACAAAGCTTCGTGCCATGAAAAAATGTAGAAGCATCCAAACTGCCGACTCTTGTTCGAATCAACTGTAAAAATGATCGATCCCTTTTTCAAACGTTGATTTTTAAAGCTTGGGCTATGTATTGTTTACATTATTTTGTTTTTTAAAAAAAAAATAAATATATATATATATATATATATATGACCCAAAAAGACAATCCTGCACCGCCGTGGCCGCCAGGCGCCGGCAGGCGGGCGCCATGCCCACGAGCCGCGAGACCTCGGTGTCCAGGTACTCGATCTGCGGCTTGTAGCCTTGCCACGGGAGCCAGGTGCCATGGGGCCGTCCATGGGGCTACTTCCGAAGAATCTTAGAAAAGGGTTCCTGCAACATGAAGACCATAGACTAAGATGGTGTCCACTAAATAGATTTGAGAGAAGAGAGTCTCTGGGGGTTGTACATGTAACACGGAATGATTTATTGACGTGTTGCTAGTTCATACGGAAAACGAGACATCTAGAGCAAGCAACGACCATTAAAAAACTGTTTGTGCTGCTTCCTTGACAGGTGAACAGTTCAACACGGTGTAAAGAAGAAAAGGCGGGAACGAGTAGCATTGTGTTTGTGTTAAAATTGTTGTGCTTTTGATGGGTCAAGCAAGTTCATGACAAGCCCGCACCAGACTCCAGGTTCTGCAAAACAAAGGGTCGCTCATGTACCTGCATGTTGCACTAGTCACTTCGCTGAGACTTAACTGATGCACCTACTGACCTACTCGCTGCCTCGCTGACTCACTGGCTGAGACCCTTTTGAGTGGGTGCACCATCCACCGAAGGTGGTATCAGCAGTGTACGTCTTGGTACTCCCAGCAGGCACCGCAACTGGATGTTTCTCAAAATAGAAATCCTCTAAAATGGCAACGGGTTCCTTTCTGTTGCCTTGAGATACCACCCAAAAGGGGTCCGACATCCATTTTCAGAAACTCCCTCCACTGCCAGGCTGGTACAGGAGCTGGCGGTGCTTGCTGGGCTCAAGTTGGGTTTGTTGTTTTTGGAGCCACTGGGATCAGACACCTCTTGACGTGTTGGGATGTTCTCACAAGGGGTGGTAGAACGGGCACGTGCCGGGGACCCTCTTTGAGGGCCCCTAAAGAATTGTGCCCTGTGAATCTTCTTTCGGGCAAAAAGTCCTGAGCGATGGGAACGGACAGAGAGTAGAAGGGGTTTGGGGGAGACAGGGGGGAAGACCATTCTGAGATCAGGTGAAACGCGCGGGATAAACCCAAGAAATCCAATAAACTATGCGAATGGGCCCGAGGAATGTGCAAAACGAAGACAGAGGGGGAAAATGAAGGGCCCAAGCCGGATGGATCCGAGGGTCATTGGGCATACCACTGCCGCCACTCTCGCACTAGGGCTTGCAGTTCCAGGTTCTCGTTTTCCAGGCCCACCTCGGGTTCGTGTCACACTTGCTTGTCTCTCTGAATCGGCAGGGGGAGGGGGGTTGCTGGGCCCTAAAAAGGCGCAGAAAAACCCGGCCCATTCCGACACCAAAAGCAATTCTGAGCCTCAAAATGCAACCGCAAGCTGACCCACTGAAAAGCAAAGCTGACACCTTCTTGTTCAGCTGCTTGATGCCGTCTTTTTTCATTTCAGGGATCACTATACTGCCCTGTGAGCATGGAGGGGCAACCAAAAAGCAAACTAACCACCCCTTAGGTCCCGAAGTTGAGTCCCAGATCTGGTCTCTAGGGACACCACCTTCTGGTTTTAGACCAATCACCTTCTGGTTTTAGACCAATCACCTTCCGGTTTTAGACCAATCACCTTCTGCTTCGTTACGCAACTCTTAGGTCGGTCTAACCCCACCTCAAAATTGGAAAGCCAAGCTCCCCCCACCCCGCACCCCCCCCCCACCCACACACCCCCGGCACCCAGCACCCAAAGCAAAAACAGTGGGTCTGACTGCCCGCTTGAGGCGCTACGCGCTGCCGCAGAACGGCACACTCCTGGCGCAGGTCGTCCAAGGTTTCCCCGGAGTCACCAGGCATCGGCCCTTCCTCGAGGCGGGCTCTCCGTTGAAACGGGTCTGTCCCTGTTGCTTTTTTTGGCTCTCTAATTTGGGAATCAACCGAACCTACAACAGTGTTCAAGCACTAATGCGCGCATCGTTTCCCACCCTTAGGGCCACACTTTATCATGTTAGCAGCCCACAAATGGGACACAGCCACTTGCAGGCAGGCCGTGGAATGCCAATTGTAGAAGTCCGTGGATGAAACCCATGTTGCGAAATTCCACTTTCGGAAATGCCATTTTTCGGAAATAAGTACCACTGTAAAATACCCTTGTTTGTCTTACGTAGGGTGTTTTTTTCTGTCGGGAAGCCAACCGGTGCCGATTTTTTTCCAGGGCGCTGTAAGTGGAGGCTCCACATCGCCGGGGATGCCCTCTCCTCGAATCGGATCCAACGCGCAAAGGGGTGTCCACAGGTCATGTGACATCATCATAAGCCTCTGACGGTTGAATGGGAACGCAATGGCGCGAACCAAATTGGAAAAACCGGTCTGGTTTCGTGCTCAAAGGAAGCCATTTGGAAAAGAGTCCCCTTCAAACATCTTGCGGCGGCTGAGCGATGTGGATTGCCTTTGATTCGCCGGGTTACAACCCGGCTTGGGTGGTGACAAGCCCAGCAAAAGCCCTGTGGCAGCAAAACAAAAGAAATTGCCAGCTCAACATGAGCTTGCTCCAATGAAGCAAAGAACCACTGAAAACTTGCCGGGTGGTCTGGGGAAGGGAACCAATATGGAGTCGGGGCACGGTCTGCCCCAAATTTGTCTGGCTCTCAAGAGTTAACTAACACGGGTTTGGCAGTGGCACAATACGCAGGTGACGAAGGTTCCGGTTGTACTCACCTTCTGCTTTCCAGCTGCAAATCAAGCGGAGAGCCATCAATCGTCAGAAGAGGCAAAAAGAAGGCAGAAAGACAGAAAGAAGGTCATCCAGTAAGTGGGCAACCCGGACAGGAACCCAGAGTCCCCTAAGAACCTCCATTTACTCAAGTCCTGAAAAACTAAGAATATGTCCAGTGGTAGATTCCCTTTGAAACCTGAGGCGTAACCAGGGTTGCCTGAGGTGCGTGATTGACCAACTTTCGTGTCGCCTAGGATCGTGGACCCCTAGCAACCTGAAGCAAGCGAACGACCGAAGTTGGCGCGATCTGGGTATGTGCTGCCCCACTCATTTCAGACTGTCGAGGCGTGATCTCGAAGATATACCAGGCAGGTGTTGCTGCATTTTAACCCCAATGTCGAAGATCGTCCCGTTGTTGCAGGCGTTTCCCAAGGTTTTGCTCCATCTCACACAACCCCCTACTCCAAATACCTGCTTTTTTCCGGGCATATTTTGAAGAATCGGGTTTTCCACTCATAGCAAGTATCCCTTTTGGGGCAGGCATCATTTGACATCATACTCTCAAAGAGGGTCTTTGGGGAAGCAATTAGCTCGTCCATGCCGGGTGTCCGTCCGCCATGGCGTTCACAGAAATGGGCCGAAAGGCTGCGCTGGCCGACCGAATCCAAGATGATCCGCAAACCGAAGCATCCCTATTGGTGAAAGAATGCACCAAAAGGATGCAAATGCAAGCAGGGAATGGAGCGAAAAGGCCGAAACTGGCATGGCTTCAAATAGGTGTCAAAACCGGTTGGAACTCCTTGTTGCTTCATGTTGAAAGGAATGAAACCAATGTCACTAGGGCTCCCTTCGATTGAACTTGCGAGCGCAACCCAAGAGTCGGATCGACTTGGTTTGTCCCACACAGTTTGCAAAACTGAGGATGGCAACCCGGGCCATTTCAGATCATTCCAGGGATACGAGGACATCGAACGGTGCTTTTGTTCCATGGTTTCCTCACGCGAGCACGCAAAGCCCCTAGCCCGGCATTCGAAGCAATGATTTGCCCATCACCGAGAACTAGGGATGATAGCTTTTGTTGACGGGTATCCTCATGGATCCCTAGGCATGTTTTGAGGGTAGGCAGGATCCCACCCTCCCCGAAGCATCCCGCAAGTCCATGGCTCTAGCCGCTTTTTCTGACCAGAACTGCGACTGCCTCATAGGCGAGAAAAGGGAGCCAGCATGCCCGCAAAGACTGTGCTGCTCGAAGACAAAATATGTCAACTAACAGGTCCTGTTGCAATTTTGCATGGACAGAAAAACCTTTTCGCTTGTACTGTACCGACAGTGATCTCTGCACTTCAATATCTAAAGAGGGGAAGCATTTAATCCTAGATTGTCCAAACTCAGAAGCCAAATTGTTGGATGGCATCCTTGCCCGTGGCGATCTCCGCCGCAAAGATACCCAGCACAGAAATCATGGCCATGCGCCCGTTGTTCAGCTCCTTCATCCTCATCTCATCGTTGTACATGTTGACACCGAAGGGGTCCCCATAGTTGCCGGGCTCGCGGTCGCTGCCGGGCTCCTCTCGCCACGCCAGCTCCAAGAGACCACAGAGCAGGAAGATGCCGAAGAAGCCAAGCACGCCCTCGCCCCTGCCCATGACGGAGAAGCCAGCGGGGGACTGCTCAAAGCCTGGCAACTTCAGGAAGTGCTGACCTACCAGGCCGATAGATGCCATCATCGCTACCCTCCCGTGTTTGATCTCCGAAACTTGCAGCTTGCGGAAGCCCCTCTCGTCACCCACCGCAGTGAACCCAAGCGGATCGAAGAAGCCCAAAGGCTCAGTTGCACCGAACTGTTCCGAGGGCTGGAACAGAGGCGGCACATCCTCCACCACTGCTTCAGCTCGACGCAGAATGCTCTGCTGGGCTGCCACTCGAGAGGAAGTCCTTCCTGCAAAGCTGCTGCGCGATGCGGAGGAAGAAGAAGCAACCTGACCACCCAGTGCTGGGAGACCAAACTGCTGCATGGCATCCTTGCCCGTGGCGATCTCCGCCGCAAAGATACCCAGCACAGAAATCATGGCCATGCGCCCGTTGTTCAGCTCCTTCATCCTCATCTCATCGTTGTACAAGTTGACACCGAAGGGGTCCCCATAGTTGCCGGGCTCGCGGTCGCTGCCGGGCTCCTCTCGCCACGCCAGCTCCAAGAGACCACAGAGCAGGAAGATGCCGAAGAAGCCAAGCACGCCCTCGCCCCTGCCCATGACGGAGAAGCCAGCGGGGGACTGCTCAAAGCCTGGCAACTTCAGGAAGTGCTGACCTACCAGGCCGATAGATGCCATCATCGCTACCCTCCCGTGTTTGATCTCCGAAACTTGCAGCTTGCGGAAGCCCCTCTCGTCACCCACCGCAGTGAACCCAAGCGGATCGAAGAAGCCCAAAGGCTCAGTTGCACCGAACTGTTCCGAGGGCTGGAACAGAGGCGGCACATCCTCCACCACTGCTTCAGCTCGACGCAGAATGCTCTGCTGGGCTGCCACTCGAGAGGAAGTCCTTCCTGCAAAGCTGCTGCGCGATGCGGAGGAAGAAGAAGCAACCTGACCACCCAGTGCTGGGAGACCAAACTGCTGCATGGCATCCTTGCCCGTGGCGATCTCCGCCGCAAAGATACCCAGCACAGAAATCATGGCCATGCGCCCGTTGTTCAGCTCCTTCATCCTCATCTCATCGTTGTACATGTTGACACCGAAGGGGTCCCCATAGTTGCCGGGCTCGCGGTCGCTGCCGGGCTCCTCTCGCCACGCCAGCTCCAAGAGACCACAGAGCAGGAAGATGCCGAAGAAGCCAAGCACGCCCTCGCCCCTGCCCATGACGGAGAAGCCAGCAGGGGACTGCTCAAAGCCTGGCAACTTCAGAAAGTGCTGACCTACCAGGCCGATAGATGCCATCATCGCTACCCTCCCGTGTTTGATCTCCGAAACTTGCAGCTTGCGGAAGCCCCTCTCGTCACCCACCGCAGTGAACCCAAGCGGATCGAAGAAGCCCAAAGGCTCAGTTGCACCGAACTGCTCCGAGGGCTGGAACAGAGGCGGCACATCCTCCACCACTGCTTCAGCTCGACGCAGAATGCTTTGTTGGGCTGCCACTCGAGAGGAAGTCCTTCCTGCAAAGCTGCTGCGCGACGCGGAGGAAGAAGAAGCAACCTGACCACCCAGTGCTGGGAGACCAAACTGCTGCATGGCATCCTTGCCCGTGGCGATCTCCGCCGCAAAGATACCCAGCACAGAAATCATGGCCATGCGCCCGTTGTTCAGCTCCTTCATCCTCATCTCATCGTTGTACATGTTGACACCGAAGGGGTCCCCATAGTTGCCGGGCTCGCGGTCGCTGCCAGGCTCCTCTCGCCACGCCAGCTCCAAGAGACCACAGAGCAGGAAGATGCCGAAGAAGCCAAGCACGCCCTCGCCCCTGCCCATGACGGAGAAGCCAGCGGGGGACTGCTCAAAGCCTGGCAACTTCAGAAAGTGCTGACCAACCAGGCCGATAGATGCCATCATCGCTACCCTCCCGTGTTTGATCTCCGAAACTTGCAGCTTGCGGAAGCCCCTCTCGTCACCCACCGCAGTGAACCCAAGCGGATCGAAGAAGCCCAAAGGCTCAGTTGCACCGAACTGTTCCGAGGGCTGGAACAGAGGCGGCACATCCTCCACCACTGCTTCAGCTCGACGCAGAATGCTCTGCTGGGCTGCCACTCGAGAGGAAGTCCTTCCTGCAAAGCTGCTGCGCGATGCGGAGGAAGAAGAAGCAACCTGACCACCCAGTGCTGGGAGACCAAACTGCTGCATGGCATCCTTGCCCGTGGCGATCTCCGCCGCAAAGATACCCAGCACAGAAATCATGGCCATGCGCCCGTTGTTCAGCTCCTTCATCCTCATCTCATCGTTGTACATGTTGACACCGAAGGGGTCCCCATAGTTGCCGGGCTCGCGGTCGCTGCCGGGCTCCTCTCGCCACGCCAGCTCCAAGAGACCGCAGAGCAGGAAGATGCCGAAGAAGCCAAGCACGCCCTCGCCCCTGCCCATGACGGAGAAGCCAGCAGGGGACTGCTCAAAGCCTGGCAACTTCAGAAAGTGCTGACCAACCAGGCCGATAGATGCCACCATCGCTACCCTCCCGTGTTTGATCTCCGAAACTTGCAGCTTGCGGAAGCCCCTCTCGTCACCCACCGCAGTGAACCCAAGCGGATCGAAGAAGCCCAAAGGCTCAGTTGCACCGAACTGTTCCGAGGGCTGGAACAGAGGCGGCACATCCTCCACCACTGCTTCAGCTCGACGCAGAATGCTCTGCTGGGCTGCCACTCGAGAGGAAGTCCTTCCTGCAAAGCTGCTGCGCGACGCGGAGGAAGAAGCAGCAACCTGACCACCCAGTGCTGGGAGACCAAACTGCTGCATGGCATCCTTGCCCGTGGCGATCTCCGCCGCAAAGATACCCAGCACAGAAATCATGGCCATGCGCCCGTTGTTCAGCTCCTTCATCCTCATCTCATCGTTGTACATGTTGACACCGAAGGGGTCCCCATAGTTGCCGGGCTCGCGGTCGCTGCCGGGCTCCTCTCGCCACGCCAGCTCCAAGAGACCGCAGAGCAGGAAGATGCCGAAGAAGCCAAGCACGCCTTCGCCCCTGCCCATGACGGAGAAGCCAGCGGGGGACTGCTCAAAGCCTGGCAACTTCAGGAAGTGCTGACCAACCAGGCCGATAGATGCCATCATCGCTACCCTCCCGTGTTTGATCTCCGAAACTTGCAGCTTGCGGAAGCCCCTCTCGTCGCCCACCGCAGTGAACCCAAGCGGATCGAAGAAGCCCAAAGGCTCAGTTGCACCGAACTGTTCCGAGGGCTGGAACAGAGGCGGCACATCCGCCACTTCTTTCGCAACCGTGGATTTGAGCTGAGTCTTTTTGCCGAATGCAGCCAGCGTCACAGATGCTGCAGCCAAGGTGGCCAGCGTCCCAGTTGCGCTGACGGCTGGGGCGCTTGCGACGCGGGCCTGAGCCGGCTGCCGAGGCTCTTGAGGTCGGGCTCCCGGTGCCACAAAGGCGCTGGCTAGGCCAAGGGCAACACCTGTGCCGAGAAATCGAGATGAAGCGGGCGCCATGACGGTTTGTGCTAGCGAAAAGCGAAAATACTTGAGCCAACATGGACAAAACTCCTTGCATGAGGCATGGTCATTGAGTCATGATGCCCTGCCTGCCTTGGCGGATCAAGAAGTGCGTGAAAGGGCGTGATGACCTTCATACTATTGTCATTTTCCGTTGGCCGCAATCGCGACGTCGGATGCAATGGGCTCTTGCCCAATAGCTAGAAAGGGAGCCTGCAAGAGAAATCTTGCTATGCGGCTCGAAGATGAAACATGATGAACCATGTGAGAAGCATTGAGATGGTCCTCTTGCATTTGCATGGACCGAAAAATAGAAAACATGTTCGCTCATACTGTACCGACAACATCTCTGTGACAGAAAACTAAGAGCAACGATAGAATTCAAGCAATAACATGTACTTGAACTCAGAAGCCAAATTGTTGGATGGCATCCTTGCCCGTGGCGATCTCCGCCGCAAAGATACCCAGCACAGAAATCATGGCCATGCGCCCGTTGTTCAGCTCCTTCATCCTCATCTCATCGTTGTACATGTTGACGCCGAAGGGGTCCCCATAGTTGCCGGGCTCGCGGTCGCTGCCGGGCTCCTCTCGCCACGCCAGCTCCAAGAGACCGCAGAGCAGGAAGATGCCGAAGAAGCCAAGCACGCCCTCGCCCCTGCCCATGACGGAGAAGCCAGCAGGGGACTGCTCAAAGCCTGGCAACTTCAGAAAGTGCTGACCTACCAGGCCGATAGATGCCATCATCGCTACCCTCCCGTGTTTGATCTCCGAAACTTGCAGCTTGCGGAAGCCCCTCTCGTCACCCACCGCAGTGAACCCAAGCGGATCGAAGAAGCCCAAAGGCTCAGTTGCACCGAACTGTTCCGAGGGCTGGAACAGAGGCGGCACATCCTCCACCAC